TGTTCAGAGTAAATAAATGTTTTGGTGGTGCGAAATGAAGGTTTTGATGTCCCTTCGCCAAGTGGGCTAATCCATGATTTCGTCTATGGAGCGTCACAGGCATCGCAATTTGCCCTGAAATTTGTTGTCTACCAAAAATAAATGTCTTGGTACCGTTGAGGCTCTGCATCGAAGTGGGTGTCTCTAGAAAATGTAGGTTATGACTTGCTAACATGAAAAATGTTAATGCCACTTTGCCAAACGTCGAAGAACCAGCCGATCAGGAATTTCGTTACCGTGAAACACACAAAAACTTGTCTTGAAAACAAAGGCCAATGTGCCTCGAAATAAGGGTTTTGATGCAGCTTGCCTACGAGACTGTTCCAGAATTTCGTTCGGGGTGGGAGGCGCAACATTGTTGTGCATCTTAGGAATGAAAGTTTGCGGCCCTTCGTGGCACCCTGTGGAATCGGGTGCCTAAAAATGCATGTTGTGGCATCGGAAGTAATGGTTTTAGTGATCCTTTGCCGAATGGGCCGATCCAGGATTTTGTCAAACGGACAGGGCTCACGTATGGTAGGTATCCTGGAATTTGTTGCCATCCGAAAATGAAAACTTGGGACCCTTTGCGGTGTCCCTGGAATTTGCTACCCCTTGGAAATAAAGGCTTCGTGGTTTTAAAAGAGGTTTTGGGGTGCCCCAAAAGGTGGCCCATGAGCGGCCCAAGGGGTGGGCAGCATGGCTCCATGCCTTCTCACATCTACTCTCAAGATACACCTCTGCCGGCACCGTTCATTTGCGAGCAAAATGAGACCATCAAATTTAGACCGTGCTGGATCATCGCTTTCGCGTTATTGAATGAAGCATCTACCTTATCCCCAGTGGCTGGTATTTTCCGGGGAGCCCAACAGCTCTTTAGAATCGCTGTCTTCCCGCAGCCTCCTGGAGCGGCCACGAAGCGACACCATTTGTGGGCATGTGCGATGTCCACTACGACAGGCAGGTGCTGTGGCCAAATAGTGGCCGGTTCTTTTCCAGCAAATGATCCGTCTTTGAACCAAAGCAGGATGCAAAGTTGGTATGTTAAATTTTTCAGAAGCTATGTGACGTCCATAAAGAAACATTACTAAAATGCAAACGTCCATCTGCTGTCCCGGCTTATTTTCGAGAGATGAGCTCTTGAGGACCAGCACAGCTAAACATATTAAGTACTGTTCATAGACTCGTTTTTAAGCACTACACTGTCGTTCAACCAGCACTTCCTGCTATATCGAAGGCCGTTAACCCAGCATAAGAACGTTGAGCTGGTAGTACCGAAAAACTGGGACCTGAAAGACTTTCTTTCTTACATTAGGTCCAAATTATACCGCACAGTAAAGTGGGCAAAATTCGCGAAGAAAAATGTCTCGGAAATATGGTTGGCCAAGTTCTTGGGTCCATCCCCTCACCCCAATGAAAGACGCCTAGTTCCACCCCTGCTGCACGCCTCATACGGGAGGCGATATTTCGATCTTCATCTCTCCCCAAAAATGCCAAATGTTCCAGTGCACATTTCTTCCAACCTGTCCGCTGTACATTTTCGGCGATATTTCGATCTTCATCTCTCCCCAAAAATGCCAAATGTTCCAGTGCACATTTCTTCCAACCTGTCCGCTGTACATATTTCGGCACCTGAGCTAAGTACAAGCATTTGCACGTGCTCTTCACCATGTCGATGTCCCAGTTATTTACCATCATTGTTTACTTTGCCTAGTTTTGTGTAAGGCTTGCATGCCTATATTGTATAATATTGCTTGCATTTCACTTTTTGCGTTTTTTCCGTATTGCATCGCCCCGTGTAAAGCCCCGGTTCTGGATTGCAATAAGAACACAAGGCTGTACGCCAGAATAACCGCGATGGTACAGCATGCAGGGCAAGACGTCCGTGTGCACGGACATGCCCTTGGGCACTTGACACTTCGGGGCATTATCTGGCGTCGGAGGATCGGGCGACCTGTCAAAGAAAAATAATAAGGTGTAATGAGCACAGCTAAACAAAGAATTCAAGCGCCGTAATCCGAGCGCCGGAATCAGGACGGATTTCTGAATGTAAATATGATGTCGAACATAGGAAAACTTGTGATAAATTATCTGTCACCGACTGGACCTAATACAAGGCATTTCACGAAAACAAACATTTTATACCACTGGGGTCAAAAAGGTCATCAACTGCCCCATCGTGATCTCGGTGTTTTGACAGCCTGGGACATCGCTTGGATTGTACAAATTATCATCGTTCGAGCCATACCACAGAGGACATTACATTCGATACAGTTGATTTGGTTAAAAAAACAAACCACGACATGGTATTTTTCATATCATTGTCTGACCAAAGCTGAAGATAAAGGGATGGTCCCGAGAGCTTTCGTTCAATTAAAAACAAGCAGGTTCATATGACATCTTTTTTCCATACACTTGCCTACCCATACTACTATTCTAGGTACACCGCTGTCCCTAAAAATAAAAAATAAAACTTTTACACCAGACCATCAGGCTTAAAACATGACCACTGGAAAAAACATGACGATTTTCTAAGCCCTCCCTCGACCAGCAGCCGACATGGGAATCCCATACATCCAAGGTAGCCCGGCGAAGCATCGCGATCCGATCACTCTTGCACAAGATCGGCCATCACCTTACATCGCGCGTGCTAAAACTCCATGTTCAGGCATATGTGTTCGCACACATCTCTCTCTGCCTATTCGTCTGGGATGGAGTCGCCCAGCGTCATCTGTATCGCGTTTAAAGATTATCAACGCTGTGATCAAGCTGGTGGTGGAAGTGCGACGCTCTAATCACGTTTCATGTGCTCTGTAATCGTTGGTCTAGTGACAGGTGGGCGAAATGGTACGCCAATGCGACTGTTGATGCATAGATCCATGAAATTATCACCCTGCGTCCGCACGCAATCCAGATGTAGTTGTTGGGGCCGCCCAAATGTCGCAAAGAAGGACCGCACCGTGGCCACTGGAATGCCCGAGCTTCCATGGTGCCGACCCATAAGCACCCAGCGGCCTTCTGCGTTGAGAACGGCATCGTCCTGGAACGCCTCACCCTCTGGCAACGAGACAGCGGAGCTACGTACGGACGTCGGCGCAGCTGTCGTCTCTCGTGCAGTTTGGTTATAATGTCTTTGTTTTTCGCCAATTGGAACCAGTTTTGGCTGTCGGGCATTTTAAATGCTTTGAACAAGCGCTTCATTCTAGTCACTCAGCTGTTTACCGCATTTCTTTACCACATTTTACTGGTTTGCAAAACACCGGTATTACCATTGACCGGATTCGTAATAGCCATTGCGCAGGTGAATCTAAATTAACGACTATGACAACAAACGACGAAACACCTTCCCAAGCCTTTTACCTATATATTAAGACATTATGCAGTACATATGCAAATGTCCAGACCTTTAAGGCTCTAGAAAGTGTCCGGTCAGCCCTTCGTATTGCTCAAACCATCTCGCCTTGCCAAACAGTACAGTTCTTTCCACTTTTTCTTACTAGAAAACTTCCTGCCCGTCCACGGAATTATTATACTCCCTCTGCCTATCGATTCTTTGCTGCAACTGAACACGATCTATACTCTTTCGGCTTTTCCATCCCTTGCCGTATGTGAATTATTAATGTTATTAGAATGAACGCAGTTGGTTTTTCCTCTACATTTATTTCTTGCAGTTTGTTTCCCGGTCGCTATACCATCATCAAATGCATTTGTCAATAAGAGATCCACTAGCAGTTCCACATCATTAACACCTGTATGCACACCTTCTATGTTCTCTGCTTTGCTACTTCCCCTTTACCTTTCTCAAGAACTTCTCGTTTTTCAACGAGTCGTTACTGAACCGGTACGGCCCCGGTCGGTGCCGCTGGCATTCTACATTCACTTCTAGAACATGCATGTTATGATCAGGCTGGAAGAGCGGCCTCACTTCAGCCTTGTTTGTTTCCTGGGTGCCCAGCATGGTCTGACCGACAAACATAAACATACAACTCCGCATTAACATGTTGCCGTGCTGACCACGTCTGGACGAAATCTGAGTCATATGTGCGGCCGCCGGACTGGCGAAGCTCTGCTCTGACGACAAATCTGACAAGCAAGCTCTGACAAGCTCTGACGACAAATCTGAACGAGGCTGCATGTTAAAGCCGCTACATAAAAAACCCTTGCTATTTCTGCTTAGCCGTCGAGCTGATTTTGTAACGTTTCTCCCAAATATATTTGGCGCCTTGAATCAGTACCGTTCGCAGGTACATTTACAACATTCATGAGTCGTACGTCACACCGCTCATCTCTAATACCGCTTGCCAGCGAATCTGGTGTGCACCAATTGATTTTACGCCACCGGCAAACATAACTGGCCTTATTTCACCTCGTCCAGTCACTGATCTGTCACTTTTGGAGGTGTTCATTCGATTACCCGTACCGATTTTTCGTTTCATGGTTCTCCACCGCTTGCCCGCTGTGGATCACCTCCACCGCCGGCCGATTTTTTTCACCTAACGCTAGTATTGATCGCCAGTCATTGACCTAATGTTGCATGCATTATTTACGCCATGAATACCTCTAATACTGAGGACACTTCTATTTTGCTCGAAAACGAATCGTGCAACAGGTTCGGAACCCAAACTTTCGGTCTTTGTGCCTAGAGTGCCGCTGGCAGCGCCACAGCACAGCCTGACAGGAGAGCTGCATAGGGTCAACACATTGCTGACAAGAAAAAAGACGCCAGTAAAAAGCCGAACTTACCGTCAGCTGACGACAGGATGGCAACACGAGCGGAGCATACTTTCCGTTCAAGAATAATACCAGATATTCGTCCATGGGCTCTTGCGAAACCTCTCATGCTCCACTCACACACCAAAAGCTGCTTAAAAGTGACTGACGCCGCACAAGTGAAACTAAGTCCATCGGGGCTATACAAGACTCCGAGCTGGCCGGCGCCCTGGTCGGTGTGCGCCACCAGGCCGGCCGTTCCCGCGACTTACCGGGACGTCCGGCGGCGGCGGGGCCCGCTGCCGCACCACGCTCGTGATCTTGCCGTCCACCACGTGCAACGCGGCCGGCCCCAGGTACCCGTCCCCCAGCAGCACGCGGTCTCCGAGGAAGCACCGCTCCATGGTTTGCGACGGCGTGCTTGCCTGCCCACCGCCGGTTCGTCCGTAGCAGTGCGAGAGCGCCCCCGCCCGCTCCCCGCCGTCCCCGACATGTGCACCTCAAGGTCGCTCGACACGTCCCAACCGAGAGCGAATCCGGCCGGAGCCCCCCCCCCCTCGCACATACACACGGCCGATTCTGCTGCCATCTAGTAGTGAGTCTTTAAATCACGCTGCGCGATCGAGGCCACCACGCCGTGTAGTCGCCTGCTGCGGCGTAGCCTCTTCGTGGACACCAGACAGAGAAATGGCCGCGGAGGGAGGTTAAAGGAAGGTCTTGCAACTGGCAGAAGCAATGGCCGTTTTTTTAAAATTTCCAGTCAACTTCCATAAAACAAGTGTCAATTTTCAGAAAGCTGGAGGGCTCAACCCAAGGCCATAGAACAGATCACACAGCCACCCCCAGTTCTTTTCTGGGACCCTGGGAGTCAGCGGCGGTTCTAGACAAGCGTATGGGATGAGGTGGTTTCATTTGCAGGATAATCGTTACCTCACAAAATGACGATCTAAAATGTAACCAGGCTCTCGTAACTGGCAGCGTTACGTGATCGAATAGTCACGGAGGCGTTAGCGCAAGGGTGAACAACTAACCAGAATCCAAGGATAACTTCCGATACACTTATTTGAAGCCATCGCATCGCCAACATCTGAGGCGCATCCAGCAGTTTTTTTGGGGGGGAGGGAGGGGGGGGGGGTACGGCGCCCACCCGTGTATGTAAACGCTCTGCACATTCATTCCGCTACCATCAAGTGAGCGGCACCCCAGGGAGCGCAAGCCGAACGGCCAGAGCCAGAAGCAAATCAATGTCTCCACCTTCGTAAGTCCAACTCAACAGCTTGTAAGGCAATTTTGCCCAGTACACTACTTGCCAAAAGGAAGCGACACGAAGCGTTACTGCCGACGTTCAACAGAAAGCCTGCCTTTTGCGACATGACCATGGTTCAAGACTATACACCTGCGCTCGGCGTTCGCGAGGCTGTTGTATGCACGAACCTCAGCACGTAACAACGGACGACGTATTGCATGCCTGAATGTTATGTCTGTTTGTTTGCAAAAATCGAACGGCAGCGGCGACAATGATTTCAACCGGCGTTTGGTTATGCTCTCCAAGAAGGTTGCATGCGTACGCTGAGCGTAAGTGCGACACATGATAAACATGTCTACCATTCAATTTTCTATTTGTAGTGAAACGCTAAAAATCCCACAAAACACGACTCCAAACGAAGTATTTCACAACTGTGTGGCGTTTTGAACAAAGGCGCAGACCATCTGGCCGATCTTGATTGGGGTGGTGCTGGAGAGCGCGACTCCGCGGCCCAGTGGGAGCCAGCAAGCAGACCCATACGGTGCTGGGCCGAGGAGACCACTGAAACTCCCCCCCCCCCCCCCCCTGAACTCGGCAGGCTAGTAAACCGGAATTGAAAATATGCACTGACTTGCAAATGTCCTAAACTTCTTGTTAATTCCTGGAATAAAATATGAGCTACTTGCTTTCACCAGTTACGGTTTCACTGGCGACCTCCAAAAGCTGAAGCATCTCAAGTTTAAAAAACGGTATTGTTGTACACACCTCTCCACACATCACAATCTGACCATCTCTGTCCAAGACACTGTATACAGGTCAAACATTCCTCTTGACTGGCAAAAAATAAATGGTATATTTAATGCCTGCGCTGGGCACAACAGCTCAAAGCATAGCACACGAAACAAAACAACGCAGAATGAGATCTCGCACTTTCAGGCGCACTGAAAGTCTGTCAAAGACTTCTCCGCCCAAGGCACCATCATATCAAACCGTCCAGCCTCGCTCAGTGCTTCGTTCCATATGAGGATCCGTCCAATCACATATAACGTTGAGTTATTAAATCGTCTCTAGAGGCTTCAATAATGACTAATAACTCAAGGAACATAATCACTATCATATCAATTCAAAGATGACTAACGTCGCCTGAGGGGGACTTCAAGGATCCGCCCGATTCATCGCAAAACAACTGCACAAAACAGCATACAGAGGGCCAGGCCACACATCGGCATCAGCCCAGCCACGTCCTCCGGTGCTGCCGTGATGCCCAGCACAGCCTACCAAGCAGAACGCCAGCAGAGCGGCCCCTGAAATCCTATGGAATGCCCGCTCCGGGTGTTCGCGACCGGCATGCACACCGTCAGAGGCTGACCACAAGCAGGCGGAGCGAGCCCTCCCTCCGGGCCGCCGCGGCCCGGCAGCACCCCTGACTCGCCAACGGTGCGGCGCCCCCCACCGCGGTCACAGTGCGGCCGTGTCCGCGGCGGCGCGGCCCCCTCCGCCGTCCGCGGCCGCCGGCACCGTGAAGTATTGTGCGACGAAGCCGCGACACAGGGGACATGTCGGCGTGCGCGCGAAGCAGGCGCGGCACACGCAGCCGTGCCGGCAGGGCAGCAGCACGACGGCGGCCGGCGCCTCCTGGCAGACGGAGCAGAGGCCCAGCGGCTCCGAGCCGCCTTCCCCGGCCGACGAGTAAAGCGGCTGGCGACACAGGGCGGCGCATGGTCAGCGGCTGGCGACATGGGGCGGCGCACGGTCAGCGGCTGGCGACCCAGGGCAGTGCACGGTCAGCGGCTGGCGACCCAGGAGGGCACACGGTCAGGTGCCGGCGACACAGGGCGACGCACGGTCAGCGGCTGGCGACACAGGGCGGCGCACGGTCAGCTGCCGGCGACACAGGGCGACGCACGGTCAGCGGCTGGCGACACAGGGCGGCGCACGGTCAGCTGCCGGCGACACAGGGCGACGCACGGTCAGCGGCTGGCGACACAGGGCGACGCACGGTCAGCGGCTGGCGATACAGGGCGACGCACGGTCAGCGGCTGGCGACACAGGGCGGCGCACGGTCAGCTGCCGGCGACACAGGGCGACGCACGGTCAGCGGCTGGCGATACAGGGCGACGCACGGTCAGCGGCTGGCGACACAGGGCGGCGCACGGTCAGCGGCTGGCGACAAAGGGCGGCGCACGGTCAGCGGCTGGCGACACAGGGCGGCGCACGGTCAGCGGCTGGCGACCCAGGGCAGCGCACGGTCAGCGGCTGGCGACACAGGACAACGCACAGTCAGCGGCGCGTCACAGCGCTCTCCTAACTACCCTGCCGGTGCTACGGGATGTCACGTGACGTGATGACGTCGCAGGGTAACACAAACGTCCCAAAGGTACCAGACAGATGTCAATGCCTCTCACTGGTCGACAGTGGGCGGCAATGGAAGTCGGCGCCATGCCACAGTGACGTCACTGGGTTCTGCGGGAGAGTCGGTTTGCGAGCTGTCGCTGAATGCCACAATGCCAATTCCGGGTCAAAGCCATCGATCTGAGGGGAGTTAAACAAGTCTGGCAACATCAGACCCGCATTTGACAAGCCAGCTCAGTGTGCAGCCAGTGCAGCTGAGCGCACAAGTCGCATAAATGCATTTGACCTTCGATTTTCATGTTGCTTTTTTAAATTTTGGAAACAGAATAGTGCAGATGTAATGAGTTCATTGCGAAATGCAGCTTAAATTTCTATTACAAAATTATATCGCCTCATGCAGACATCATTGATGGATCTCAAATCACTTACGACCATGCTGCACCAGCAAATGACACTAATCCGAGGAGAAATCCCCTGGGGGTTTAAGCGACCATACCCATACAGACCTTACCATTATTCATGGTTACTCCAAGGGTACCTAGGTGCCTACGCAGGCGAAATTTGTGTACTTTTTGTGAGATTCCTCCAAACTTGTTGACAGGATAATTTTATAAGGCCCACAACAGTCCTTGTTGCGTGGGCTCTAACCCCGCCAAACGAACGTTAAAGTCCAGGCCAGTGAGAGAATTTTGTAACGCAAGTTTAACGTAGCGTAATACCCGGCACGGTAAGTACTATCCTGTAACTTCCCCTGATATCTTCCACTCCAGGAGTAACATCGGGTACGTTCAGGCCATAACGTATGTTCAGGCCATCCCAGTCATACGCACTATTATATATTGTTTTATTTTACAAACCATTCATTTACCGAAACCTCTTAAAGCAACCGGCCGGTTGTAGACCGTTCCCAAAACGATTTAAGGTATTACATGAATCTTTTACGAATGCTGCCAACTTTGGCCGTTGTTTTGTCGCCTCGCCTTGCTATGAACACCATTCTCCCTTCGCTAGCCTTCGCATCCCTGCCGCGCATTTCTTCTTCCTTTTCTAACACACCATTCCTCGTAGTTGTACCTTTATGACACTCCACAACACTACTCTTGCCTTGGGCAACATAATTCATACCAGTTTATGCTGTCCTCAGAACCCACTTAGATAACAGCTAACCACTAGTTGGCTGGCTCCCGGCCACGCCCGGCCATCATTTGCCACACGCAGAGATATCTAGCGGCAGTTTCTCTAGATTGCCCCACCGCAACGTGGTAACGGGATTTTTCCAATACGTTGGATTAATGCAGTTATTGGTCCGAACGATTATGACTGTCACGTCTGCTGAGAATACACGTATTTGTTTCGGCCATCAGGAATACTGAAATCCCCGCCTCAACTGTCTACATATTGATACCCAGTGCAAAAAAGCTAATCAAACCGGGCGTCAGTGTACGTCACGTGACATCAATGACAAGATTTCGTAAAGAGTAAGGGGAAGCCGGAGACAAGGCACAAAAAGAGGCTTTTAAAGAGGTGCTGAGGGCGCTTTCAGGTGTTACAGCAAGAACGGCCAGCGACAGCGGGCCTCACACGGCGCCACAGGACATCGCTGGGCGTCACAGGGCACAAGATGGGCGCGCCCACTGTGAATGATCATGCCGCGCCCAGGAGAATAAGTGTTACTGAGTGCTCCATAAAGCTGCTGAAACTCTGACGGGTGTCGTTAATGCAGCGGCTGTCACACCACATCTCACAGAGATCATCGAACAGTCCAGGACGCCAACGATCGGCGAACATACGGCAGAGCGTAATGCTGGTCGTGACAGAGCAACCACTGTATGGCGCTGACAGCATGCGAAACTTCGCCACCACGTTGCAACCGACCCTAATGCCGACTTATAGAGACCAGTACGTGTAGGCGGACTTGCGGAGAACGCGGTGAAACAGTACATAACGAAATAGTTATCGTAACCCTGCCGTGAGCGACAGGTGGTGTACGCATCAACGCTACGACGGACCCCGGAAGGCGGTGGCGCACGCCTAAGTCTGGTTGAATACCACAACACTGAAACAGCCCCCTTCTTAATTCCGGCAGTCATTGAAGAACCCTAAACCGATACGTTTTATGTCAAGTTTGATTCCATCTTTCCCAATGGCAGCTACCGAATTTCGATTGAATGTTGAGCTTGATGTCCCATTAAGCAAGGTGTTTTACTACGGAATTCACATGACACCTTCAGCAATGCGCATGGTCGTAAGTTCGTGTCACGAACTATGTCCCAGCCGGTATCGGAGGAGTCAAGCAGCACCCGCCGCTGGTCCCACGCAGGGCGGTGCGCGGCCGGGCACCTCACCTGTAGCAAGGTGACTCTGCCGTCGGCCTGGCGCACGTACCGGTGCAGCACCGACGTGGCCATGCTGGTGTGGGTGTCCCTGACGTGAATAACTGCCACCAGCGCCACCTGTGAAGCAGCGCCCGTGGCGTCAGGCCTGGCGACCGCAGCCACAGCTCGGCGCGGACCGCACCAAACAGCAGATCGAACAGCGCCAGCAGGCACGCCGCGCAGCGCTAGCAGGCACACCACACCGCACGGCGTCAGCAGGGACAAAACACCGCACAGCACCAGCAGGCACACTGTACAGCGCTAGCAGGCACACTGCACAACACCAGCAGGACATCACACCGCACAGCACCAGCAGGCACGCTGCGCGGCGCCAGCAGGTACACTGTACAGCGCTATCAAGCACACTGCACAACACCAGCAGGGACACCACACCGCACAGCACCAGCCGGCACACTGCACAGCGCTAACAGGCGCATTGCCCGCAGGTTCACCGCACAGCACCAGCAGGCACACTGCACGGCGCCAGCAAGCACCCCACACCGCACAACACCAGAAGGCACACCGCACAGCGCCAGCAGGCACCCCACACTGCACGGCGCCAGCAGGCACACTGCACGGCGCCAGCAGGCACACCGCACAGCACCAGCAGGCGCACCATGGAACGCCAGTAGGGATACGACACTGGTGTGCGTTCCAGGCAGTCACAAGTAGAGCTTGGCGGTGAAGCGCGTACGGAGCATCCGAGTCCTTAAAGTGAATGATCCGCGTTTGGAGATATTGAAGTAAGCTTCAGATGTGATGAAATAAGTCCATTTATAGCTATTGGTATACTTTCATGTGGAAAACAATTACCTGTTTAGTATATGTACTACTCAATGCGTCATGGTTTGATTGCGTAATCGTATCTACACTTATTGAGAGCCAATTGACTGCCGTTACATCTAGAAATCGTGCTCGCGAACGCCAGATATGCACGGCTCGACGATTATATTTTCATTAGCCTTGATCGCCGCATGGCTAATGGAACGGTTTAACTTGAATGACATTGCATGACGTCATGCATGCATGGATGACCTTGAAATAGTCGCCCCAAAGAAGCCTGTACATCTTCGCGGTCGCGTAGCTCAGAAGCTAGGCGGGTTTAGGTCTCAATAAGGGCAGGGTTATGAACTGTAACGAATGATCTTCAAGATGGTGTACGTCGAAGGCAGCATGAAAAGGCTTAAGAAAACCAGACCATGCTCAAAAACACGACTAATCCACACAAATGGAGGGCATGCGGTGCAACATCAAATGAACATTATTTAACATATCACAATGTACGTATCCCAGTACAAACATCTCCGATTCAAGTCATCTGTGGCCAAAAGCCAGGCAAACGGCGTGCAATTCAGTTAAGGGGAATGCTTCACATTTGAAGAAGCCGAAGCAAAAATCAGATATGATGAAACAAGTTCACTCATAACTATTGGTACGCTTTTTAAGTTGAAATAACTACTCCAGACAGCACAATTCTCTGTTCAGTAAATATACTGCTCAATGCGTCATGGTTTTAATACATCATAGTACCTTGCACAACATTGATTGAAAGGCAGTTGACGGCCTTTATATCTGGAAATGGTGCTCACAAACGCCAGATATGAACGCCTCGACGATCATATTTGTTTGGCTTTGACCGCCGCATGGGTTATGGAATGGCAGGATTTACATGACGCTATTATGACGCCATGAATGCCAAAGCGACCTTGAAATTCATCTCCTCCCCCCCCCCCCCATCAATTTTCCCCATTTTCGCGGGTGTGTGACTCAGAAACTAGAGGGCTTAGGTCTTAATAAGAAGCGCAGGATTGCAAACAGCACCGAAAGGTCTTCAGGATCGCTAGTTCAGTTCAAAATTCCACATAAATGTGGGGCACTTCCTTTAAGTGGTGAAATACCAAACATCAAGGCTGCAACAAAGCAACTGTTAGGAAACACACGGACACATGTCACGCAATGTGAAAGCGAGCCATGTGACTTCTATCGAGCTCAATCATCACGCTTAGTCGTGTTCAAACAGGACGCGCCACAGAATGAACCACGGAAGACTTAAACAACTGGAAAGTTCGAGTATTTACCACACTGCTGGGCGATTCCGGCGCGGCGGTGATTTCGACGACGGCCACCAGGGGATAGTGGCTCCTTGGCAACGAGTGCTCCTCTAAGGTCTCTTCCCCCTGGTACACCGCCTCGATGCTGTGTTCGCCGGGCCCGAAACTGACATGTGAACAGGCATGATAGGCAACCGTCATTTTTTGTACATAAATACAATCCACTCAGCATATATGGCTCAAACAGCAAACCGCAAGGTGTACATTAGTCGCCCGTAAAATGATAAGATGCACGGTAATATATAATTGATAACGCAGTACAAACAGCACCCCGCGCTTGCCAGTGCGTTCTCCCCTTTGTCAAATGGTACTGGTCTGGCGCTGCTGCGACACCGGGCGGACAGTACCTGGGACTAGTTTCCACCAGTGCTGAGCGTCTTTTACAAACATTCCGTATCTCACGGTTCCCAAGTCAATCAAATAGGCAAGTTTTGTTATGTTCGCATTGCAAGTTACACATTAATCGGCGGTACATCGAGCGCCTTAAATGAAAATACCATACAGCATATGCGTGTAACAAAGCAATCCACCTTGCGAAAAGCTGCATGCAGCTGCGACCATCCGCTAACTGGTTATAAAATTCAAGTTAGCGCAGCGGTCGGTCCCAGTTCTAGTTCTCACTGGCGCAGTAAGACCCACTCCCACGTCTTTGCCACACATTCCACCTAGAACTCGACTTTGTTCTCTAAAGTCACTCATCGGCCTTCACCATGTTGTGATGACGTTCCCACTGAGTGCTCTGGAAACAGCCGTATCCAGACCCGCACGTAGCCACGATCTGTACGACAGCCGTGTAAGGCGACCTGACCACGCTGCCGCTGGCGACGCTCGCGGCCGCCGCCCTCCGTACCTTCGCGTGTCACCGTGGAGAAGCAGGACATCCGCCGCTGTCACCATATTCAGCAGGCGACCCAGCGACGAACATGGAACTTTCCAGAGTAACTTGAGGTGACATGCTCGCTCCGACTTCAGTTCGCACCGCACCGCTGCCGACGGTGGGCCTCAGTAAGACGCGTGCATCATCACCCGTTGCCACTCAGTGTGAAAATAAGTGGTGTCAGACATCACACACGGCAGTTGAGGAAGAAGGTAATGACGCATGACGACAACGGCCGATGGGAACAGGATGCGATTTCATGATTTGATCCGACACCAATGCCCACAAGCACCTGGGAATTAGTAAGTCTGGAGACCTTAGCTTAGACTCTAAGACACCATGAATTAATTACATTTCAGGCTCAGATAACTAAAGTTTTGACGTCGGAAGCAGAGGTCAAGGTCTAAGATGAAGAATCTGACTGGTGTGGAGTGATAACTAACTTGGACCTCTGACGGCAGAGTAGGGACGTTGAAAGTCAGTGTCATGGCACCTGTGTCGATAAGCTTGCCGTTCTCCCTCTTTCTGATGCGCATAGCAGAGGTCACCCCGCACCTCCCCAGTACCTCCACAATCGCCTCCTACGACGCTTCTCGTACATCCCAGCACGTCACCACGCCTTTTGACGAGTTTCTAGTCAGACCCATTTTACAGTGATGGCTGCGCTGACGTCGCCCTGGGTCCTCACGCGGAAAGACAGCTCCCTGACAACCAGTCGCGCACCCAGAGCCTTGGCAGGGGGAGGGGGATACAGGGTTGACAAACGACCCCTTAATAGAAAAAACATCCCTCAAGCGCCAGATATGGCCCACTGGTTAAAAGGGGTATGCTTTTCACTGACATTTTTCCCTTTTCCTTCTATAACTGGAGGGCAGAAGTTACCATGACGTAAATTCTGACTGAATTTCAAACTTAATAAACTGAATAAATCGTGAGTTCAACGACTGTATGAAATAAATCGCCGGCGCTCTCAATTTTACAATGGTCCAAAGGACTCTTTCTAAACCGGTCGGATTCAGACGCTTCGTCATAATTTTTATACGGGTTCTACAGAGGCATGAGGGACCGCGCGAGTGTAGATTAGAGATCAAAATGAGTCGACAATTTGCATTAACTTGGTCACGCCACGTTTGTTTGGAAGTGTTCCACATTTAGCCAGATTCGATTAGTGATACAAATTATGTATGTAGCTCTGAACATCCGTACTCGCAAATATTGGTGACAAAAATATTGATGCCGTGCGGTGCAGTCTTCGTAAGCCGCAGAGTGTCGATCCTGTAGCTATCATTAATTCGTGGTCAAAGGGTGGATGAAAATGACGACGCATCTGAAATAATTGCGTTTGAACACTTAAGAATGTAAAATCGTACATTCAGAAGGTAGTCCGGGCGTCTATTTCATCGGCATGATTTATAGATTGATGTTAAGAACACATTGGCATTTGCAGCACCGCGAAGAGGTGTTGGCTGGAATCCGGTGGTGGAACTGGAAGGGTAAAGGTAGAATCTCTATTTTTCGAACAGCTGTAACTGTTAATCTGTTCAAAGGACAACCTCAAAGTTCTAAAAGATCTAGTCTAGTCTAGCCTTATCTTTGTCTTATCTTTGAACGGCGCGAATTAATTTTGAAAGACATTCTGAAACAATACTTTACGACGGTCGTTCTAGTGCGGGGCGCGTGATGTTATTTGCAGTGGTCATTCGGTTCCACGAACATTGAAACCCAGATCATCGTTGTCCTGCCCCCCACCCCCTTTCCCGAGATTTCGGGCGCGCCAGCTCAAACCTTTTGATGTAATTTGTTTTAGCAATATATTTTGCAAACGAATGAACGTTCTCAGGCAACGTAAGAAGGCCTCGTTCGTTTTTTTAAATCATTTTGACCCATTCTTTTCAACACTAATGAGACCCATCATTTTCCCCCGGGCAAGGAAGCCCTTGAGTGCAACACTAGGAGGCACATAAATGTTTCCGGTCAGGAGCTGAAGGGCCATTCCGTTCCAACGCGGTGCGGCCTACGCGTGGTGTCATTTTGGCGTGTCACGGGGTGGAATCCCTTGGTCTATCCAGAGGCTGAGCAAGAGTCGCTGTCACACAGTATACCCATCTTATCGCATCGCATTCGTGGCGAGAAACCAACACACACCAAACCGTGAGCCATTCGCCACACCCGTCACACGCTGGGGCACGCTGGCGGCCAGGGGAACCCTTAGCATACTGAGACTTTTCTTACGGTGTGATGTCTCCTTTTCACATATGAGGCGTTTCAGCTCCTTGAAGGAGCTACTTGCGACATCCCATCCCCCATACCATGGTCTACGCACGCACTCCCCAACATCTTGCTGCAAGGCACAGACTGGTGTTTTAATAGGAAGCGGACGGCCGTGGCCAGCCGCCAGCTTTGTTGTCGCGATTATGCGTTCCTTTCAGAAAGCTCTAACATGGCTGGGAATCCATATGAGCGTAACACGAATGCCCAGACTGCTCGCGAGACAGAGCTCGTCCCAGATCGATGGCCCCAGGGGAAAGTGGCTGCTTGACTCGGAGATTGGGTCTAGAGATGAGTGAGATCATGGTGTCAGACAAACCCAGAACATCTTTTTTAGCAACGGCATCGCAAGAGCTATACTGCTGCGAGCATGGCAAACAACTCTGCTGAAAACACAGTGATTTGAGGCGGTAGACAAAGCGTATGAGTGACGTCACCACAGACAAAAGCCCACCCAGTCCCAACAGTTCCCTTCGATCCATCCATGAAAATCTTCAGAGATATGTCGCGCAAGGACCTTTGTTACGCAGAATGCTGCACGAATTCTGCCTCGGATATGGACCATTTCCTGCATGGCATAGGCATAGGTCACACGTAAGGGGTGCAAATTCCAACGGCGGTTGATGCTGATCTGGAGAGATCGTCGCGATCTCATCTATCTGGATGTCACTCTTCCGCACCCAATGTCTGATGCACATACATATCGGCCTTGAAAAGCTTTCCTTCCCCTCCACAAGGAGAGAATGAGCAAGTGCGAGAACGAGTCATGCGTCGGAAATCCAGTGGTGGCTCGTCAGCTTCCATCAGCAGGCTGGCAGAACGCGACGTCCCGAACGCTCATGTTGCGATCCGAACACAGGAGTGGTGAAGAGTCGAATATGAAGTTTGAAGATAAGACGACAATCCAGGGTCAAGCCCAGAATCATCGCAATCGTCGCAAACCGGAAGGCCGATACCATACACGTGAAGTTCTGGGTCCACGCACTACTTCCTGCGTAAGAGTGTCTAGGGGTGATCTTAGCGGTCGAAAAACGGAATATATATGCCAAACTCCATTGCGTCAGCCTATCAAAACTTGCAGCTGTCTCTCTGCAGAGTGAAGTCTAACACCAGATGGGAAAGTCATCAAGAAAAAGTGATCGACCACTATTCGGTGGCAGACGATCAGGTATATCACTATCATGAAAGCAAAAGGGGATAAAAAGGATAAAAAGTTATACTCCGAGGACACTTCCCTGAAGAGCATTATTCAGCAGTTCGAAGCACTCGGAGCGGGTTCCACCTGTTTAAACACGACAAAATCTCTGCCGCAGAAAGTTGACAATAAAATGTTCCATGTGGCCATGCAGGCCCCGCCCGAAAACTTTTGACAAAATGTCGTGGCACCAAGCGGCACCACCAGCGCGCTTTATGTCCAAAACACAGCAACGGTACGTTGCTTCCACTTACAAGAGGATCTGTTGGTGTCGAAAATCAGCGGGTGGTCGACACTGCTCCGGTTTTGCGAAATCCTCGTTGAATATTCGACAGCAAAACGTTGACCTCACGAAACCACATCAGGCATTCTCTTCACCATCTTGCAAAGGGACGACGTCAGTGATACGGGACGATAGTGCATGAGGACGGGCTCATCCTTTCCTGGTTTAAGGACTAGTGTCACGACTGACTTTCCAATTGTCAGGAAAGTCTTCGCTGGTCTAGATGTAACTTTAAAAACTTAAGTCTCGATGTCAAAGAACATTTGTTCCACTTGGTTAGCATTTCGTCATGCATTTCGTCAGGCCCAGATGCTATACTTTTGGCCTTCTTCGGTGCCAACCGCATATCTGTCATGGTAAAAGCGTTGTTCCACGGACGTGATTTGCTCCGCTAAATCGAATTGCTGTCCGCTCGCTCTCTTCCTTGTGACGTACGAACGTTGAGTTGTCAGTGCCTAGCAGGCATCTGTCGGCTAGAGTCCGCCTTATCCTGAAACGCCATTGGGGCTTTACGACACACCCAGCTGCAGAGGCTTTATGGCATCGCCTGCCTTTCGCCCTGACAGGAGGGGCGGGCACCGTGGGGAATCGAACCCCGTACCTCTGGTTTCCCAGACGCTTTGACCACTGCAATACCGGCACCCCCCGTCTTATCGTGTTCGCTAGCCCAGTCGTGCTGGCGATCGTGCGCCCAGCGACTCTCAGTACTGGCGCTGGAGCTGAGGGTCATTTTCCAGAAGAAGCCGTTACCCTGCTCTAGACTTGACTGAGGTAAACTAGTTTATAACATCCACATAACTTTTCCAGGAAGCATGCTTGACTTCACGTATCGTACACCCAGCCACTACCCTAGCTCGTTTTAAAGAGATGACATTCTTTGAAGTCGAGCAACGATTGAAAATTCTAAATGCCCTGTTCCTTTTTCGACTCGCCTGTTTGCATGCATCTGACCATAACGGAACCGGGTTCCGACGTGGTCTAGTGGACGACATGAGGATGGCATGAGGCTTACGAAGCGTTCAAAATGGCTGTGCCCACCTGCTCGGCGATCGAGGTGGCGGCAGCTCCTTCCTCTGGCTGCACTTCAATGTTGCACTCGGCAGTAAAGCGTGTTCCGTCTGCCCGGCACAGATGCCACCTAGGCGGCCTGACGCCCGGGTCGGCCGTGCTTACATCAACCCACACCGGGAAGCAATCGCTAACGCACGGGCCACTCTCAGCGTCCTACGAAAGGCGGTACACAAGCGACGGCGAGACAGCGGACAGATCAGTCCCCGATGTGAATGGTCCCTCATGGAAGCGACACATGCGTGGGGAGGCCTGTGTTCAGTAAACACGAGCGGTTTGCATCCACGAGCCTCTCCAAGCGTCTGCCTGTGCGGCTGGTAGCGTACAGCCCCATGCGCAGTATGCGTGTTAAAATCTTCCATGGTTAGAAACGACCAAGGTGTGTGTTATTGGGGCTTTACGACGCACTCAGCTGCTGAGGCTTTATGGCATCGCCTGCCTCTCACCCTGGCAGGAAGGGCGGGCACCGCGGGGAATCGAACCCCGCACCTCTGGTTTCCCAGACGTGCAGTGGTCAACGCAGACGCGTTAAACACTACACTACCGGCGCCCACTAGAAACGGCCCAGGAAGCTAGCCAATAACAGACTTCGAGTCCACATTCAACATCTCGTCCGAGGGGGGAGGGGGTGCAGATAAAACACACTGCCACCCTGAAAACTCCGAGGACAGCCCGCAGGTGCGTATCAAGTGGCACCCCTACGCGGGGAATTACGTGGTGCACTAAGATGGCCACTCCGCCATGGGCTACTGTGCTGGACCTAACGGACCTTCGATGCACGCTGTGACATTTGGCGCTCACCCGCGTATAAGACGACACCTTTGTCTCATGCAGGCAGGCCACGACGGGGTTGCAGGTTAAAAGAAGCCTTTGCAGGCCAGACAAGTTTGTTCAAGAAAGCGAAGGCTTCGAACTAAAATTGAGCACGACATGGTGACTGCTAGTCGACAATTAAAACATAGTCAGGACTTGGAGGAGGACGCCACTTCGGTCCGGCGCGCAGAACCGTAGTTCCAGCCGGTGGCGTTGGGGTGGGCCATCGTACCGGTCGTTGGATAGTCGAGGATCGTCGGCTTGCGATTCTGCGAGTTTCTATCTCACGAAGTAATTGCTTCCTTCAGAAGCAAATGATCACACATACTGTATTTTTTGAAGCTATGGAGCAGACAAAAACTGGTCTAATATTGCAACTTGTATTCTGAGAGGAGATGTGTGTCTCAATTTAGAAACCAATAGAAACCAATGCTTCAAATGTTGTGCGCCCGTTGCATATCTCCCCAGAACAGATCATGACAGCATTATGATCGAAATATCGTGCAAGCCACTGTAATATTAATAGGAACACCTGACATACAACAGCAAGCACAGCTACCTACCAGCCAAGGAGGTATATTTCTCACCTAAGGGACAGATACTCGGGAAACACAATACTCATTTTGGCATCTACTCACTTAGCTATACTTCCTTTGGGAACAGGGACGTAGTTTCCTATTCAGCTGGATGTGACTTAGCCTCTCTCCAAATTTTGGGAAAAAATTTGGCCAAACCCAGGGAGAAAACAATGCCTTACTATCGATTTGGGTTAAACGGTTTTTTTTTCTCCTCAGCCCTCTCCCAGCTTATTTACACAACTTCCCCCTTCCGAAACGCTGGTGGGTGCCAGTGGTGTAGTGGTTAACGCATCTGCGTTAAACACTGCACTTTTGGGAAACCAGAGGTACGAGGTTCAATACCCCCCGGTGCCCGCCCTTCCCGCCAGGTCGAGACGCAGGCGACGCCATATAGCCTCAGCAGCTGAGTGCGTCGTAAAGCCCCAGTGACACAGGAGCCCGGCGGTCAGTGCAGCGGCGGCCGGGATTACTTGCTCCCCAGAGAGCAAACCAGCCCTGCAAAGTTAGCACGTGTTTCATGTGCTCATCGACGTTGAGTCCGTTACAATAATATCCTCAGCCTTCATCCAAAGTACCGATCAATCCAACTGTTATGGCCCGACGCGGCTCCTGTACATGAACGTCGCGGAAACTCGGAATGTTACAGAAATGGCGCGCACAAACGAAAAGCCTTTGACGATAGACTGCCAGGTGCTATCTGTTTTGGCATTGTTTTCATAGGTTCTTCGTGATTTTCTAAAACTTATTGACTGACAAAACCGCTGAATTTGACAAATATTGCGTTCATATTTCGATTTGCAATCAATACGCCCGCTCAATTAAGAACAAGAAACACTTCCGGAGCTTTACACTCGTGGTGTAAATCGGCCGCGACGCTCCCAATTAGACAGAAAAAAAATCCAACCTTTTCTTCTTGACCATTTTCGTGTGCCTTCGCTCTATATTCAGCTCGCAATGCCTGGTGGAAAATGTCTTCTCCCCAACGCTACATCCTCGCCAACAGCCGGAAACGTCAGCCAGCTTGTTTCAGCATGCCCAAGCGGGGAGGCAAGGTCGCATTTCAGTCTACATCTAACTTACATGCCATTTATATCACTTAACAGCAATTAGGGACGAACAATTACGCATGCCTATTAATGATAAGGCATGCGTAATTAGGCACTGTACACTATATATATGTACAGTACATTATATGTACTGTACAAAAATAGGCACTGTACATATCCAACGCACTTCATATTTGACCTCCTTCATGTTTCATAATCAATTTCTGATATAAAGTCATGCACATATACCCAAATTAATGGCGCTGGCTCCGGGAGTTCTCCCAGCAACAAGCTCTGCTTAGCTGGGTGGACTCCCTGGAAATCCAGCCCAAAACCCAGCTCAAAAATGACCAGGTAATTGCCCCCCTCCGACTTGTGACTGTATAACCCTTACTAACACCGGGAATTGAGTGGTTGTAGATTATTGGGCGGTTGCAGCGGGCTGTCATTAGCTGATTTTGGCTAATGACTACTTTAAGCCTTTTCATCTATGATTTTTCCCTCCCTCTCACATAACACAATTCCCTCGGGTCTGCTCCACCTCCTCGCCTGTTTTTTTTTAAAGTTTGTTTCATCTTCCTAGCTGGGAGTGCCGCGACTTGATTTTATGTTTTCTGGTGTTAACGTACGGTTTACTGCGTCGCTGGGTTTGAGGGAGGGGCACTCCTGGTTACCTGTTCTTGGGTAACGGCGTAGAAATAAAAAAATAAATAAAAAGGAGAATCTTTATCAGCGTCTTGCTCAAAATGAGTGCTAAGTACCCAATATTGCCACATATATTTTAGTATTACCTTACGTACTTCTTTACCAACTAAGGGGTGTCATCATAAAGCACCGTGGCCGCGCGCGTACGGGATATTCGCTGTTCCTTGCGCTGTTCTCTCGGTTCTCTCTGTGCGCTTTGGCTGTACGCTATACCAGGAGATGGCCTCGTTGTTGAGAATTTGGCTCACCCAGTGCTGCGTTTGGGGGCGTGCGGGGATGCAGGTACGTGGTTTACATGTATTGGTGAGCAGGGTCAGACTACGGAGCGCATTGAAATGAATCATTATGCAAGGGTGACGATTAGCCTCCGTCTGCAGCATCTCTCTCGGTCGAAGGTAGTGTGCAACGCGGTGCTGTTGATGGTTGTGGACAGACATTGACCGGATAATGCTCACTGATATCTTTCGTTTATGTATTCTTCCCTGCGAATATCAACGGAGAATGAATTGCCTTACAGTGAAAAGAACTAAGAGACCCCCAAATTTCAGACACTACCTCCGGGATCCCCGTGGCCCCGGATATTCTGGCCAAAGTGAAGTGTTGGGACGCGCCGTGAATGCCCTGTGCGACACACCTCTCGGCCATCAGGATCCCATCAACCCCGGAAAAGCGAGCGAAGGGGCCCGGCAACCCCGATAACACGGTGATGAAGATTGGCGAGACGGTCGGATGCGGGTGATGGAAACCTCCCATTACTGGGGGTGACACCCGAGGGGGTGCTACTCCCCTACACCGGCCGAAGCCGGTGCCCTTGCGGGGGCCGTTATTTAAACGATGGCGTCTTTGTCGTTGGGGTACTGGACCTCGATGGGACCGTCCGAGCACCTACAAAAATCCGGAATACCAAATTTCGAGGATACCTGTTCACGCTGAAATGGACTGAGATAGAGCCAGTAGCGGCTTCCCATCGGAGTTTTGTTTACAGCGCTGAGCCGTCAGGTACTGGGGCAGTGGTGCGTCACATTGGGATGAGACCTGCGCAGCGGTGCGATGCTCAGAAGATGGTCACCGAACGCTGCCTGCCCAAGCCTGGTCTTTGGCGTGGGCGGCGACATCCACACTGAAGAGGAGTCGACGTGGGGGTGGTTGGAAGAAAGAGTGTCCATACGCCAGATTTTAGGCATTCTGCTTAGGAGCTCACCGCCCACCTCCGAACATAGCTGGGGGCGGTAGAACATTCACTCGGTAGGTGGTCACCGCCCGGGCTAACCCGGTGCTATACAGAGCGAACGACGCCTCCCACACGGCCAGGTTTAACCGGGGAGACCCCATCGTCCTGAACGCGGTGAAGCGCCGCCAGCTCTTAATCTCTTGAGCCGTCGCGTGCGACCATGTGCCTCAAGCGGAGGTCAGCACGGAGCACCCAGTCGCGGCACGGGCGTCAAACGGCTAGACCTGTATGAGCCCCACGGCCCCCGCAGCCCGGACATTCTGGCCGAAGCGAAGCGTTGTGACGCGCGGTGACTTACTTGTGCGAAGAGCCCCTTAACCATCAGGGTCCGAGCAACCCCGGGACGCGGGCGAGGAAGCACGGTGACTGATAAAACGGGGATGAGGATAGGTGAGAGGGCTGAGTGTGAGAATGCAGGGATGGGAGTGAGCATGCGACATGAGGGATACTCTCCCCCACTACCCAAGCTGGGTGACTGCAGGAATGCACGCTTTTGATGCTGACGAGCAGTCTGGCAAAATGAATCAATGAAAAAAATCATTGAAATTTGAAAATCTGAGATATTAATGAATGAACTGATCAATGCCTTAACTTTAATGTATAGATGGCATTGCATTCATTTCAGTAATGAAAAGAAACTCCTGTATTTTTCTGTCAGAATACCATACAACCATTCTAGTTTTCTGAGCAGTTTTAAATCTAGGTCTGAAAAGTGTATCTCTTCCTTTCAGGTGTTTGCCATCACACATATTGTCATCAACTGTTTCCATGAACCAAACATCCATTAAATTGGCATCCATGCATCACATACTCCCAAAATTTACAAGTTTAGCAGGAATAAAAAATATCCCCTGCCAAAAAATAACCACATACCTGTATTAGTGCCACCAGCATTAATGCCTGATCCTTCTTCAAGCACATCAAGTGAAAATGGTATGTGCAAAGGATCAAGGTGTACTTGGACAGCATCTTGAGATGTCCAATGCACCACTGACTGAGAGAACATCACAGGTTGTCTGAAATGATATGTCACAAACATTACAAAATATGGGCCATGTTGTGCCAGCATGCTGCACAGGCATGAGATAGTTGTTGTTAATGATGAGCCAGCAGCTGTGCTGAAAGATGAAATTACAGCAAAGTATCACATACAATCAGCATTATATGTCTAGCATCGAGGAAAAATAAGTTCACCTATCATGCCTAAATGACATTTGTTATCAAAATGGTAAATGAAGTAACCATTAAAGGAAAACTGACCATTTATAAGCCTTCAGAACCAACAAAAGAAGCGAGAACTTAAGTGGAATGTGTGTATGCACCAACTGGTAATACATGAAGATGCCTTTAACGAAAACATGAATAGCCTCAATTTTGGCAATTTAAAGCACTGGGCATAACATGTCAAATAAAGGCACACCAACCATTCCAGCACCACTTCAAAAGCACAGTATTGCTTCTTTTTTTGAAGTTGGTACATACCTAAACATGAATATCAATGTGAAAACCAAAAAGATAAGAAAAAGCAAAATAACAGCAGGAAGTGGAATCATGTGAGCTCCATGTTCCATCTTTGGCTATTCAAATTATTGATTCTTCCAATGTCCTGTTCTGAAAAGGCATCCATGACATGAGGCAATGATTATCTTTTACATTCATCTCAACACAGCGGGCTTCCATACATGGTTTAGGGCATGCATGCCAAAAAGCATCACCGTTTCCATCACTTTTCAGAGGAATCACTGGCATCCAAGTAGATTCGGTATCACCAGCTAGGGCCATAGATCACAGTGTAGGTCTCACACTTCCTAAACAGCCTGAAAAAATATTCACCTAAAACGCAAGATGTGCCATACTGGTATCAGCAGATGGAAACACACGGTCATTGTATACGTTGGTGCCTCACTTTGCCATATTACACGGTCCATCAGAGCCAACCACGCACCCTACGCAATCACATCACCGAAAGGCTTTAGGGATTCATCATCATCTTACCTTTAAAGCATAATCATTACCATAACGACGGGGGCATGTCAATTCACCAACGCGGCAATGGCATCTCAATAGATCAGACCCTTGCATCAACCTCCGTTCAAGGGCCCTGATATAAGCAGCGATAGGTTTTTCAGGGTGGAGTTTTTGCGTGTTATTTGTCAATTGGTCGGCATCGAACTTCCGTGAAGTTAGCGATTTATGCAGAGATTTATTTAGTGACGAGTTCCGATTTGTCTGGAGGTCTTCAGGTCAATTATGGCACGAGTGCACCGAAAAATACATTTATTTTGCACTATCATATGACATTCGAAGTCAAAAGCTGGGTCAAAGGACGGGAAGTTCCATATCACCCAATTACCGCCCGCCGATTAGAAAAACCGCAAGAATCAAAGCGTTCCCAGGCGCAAGAGCTAGCGTCAGACAAAAACTCCCGACCTCTCAAGGCCACCCTTCAAGGTCAAACGCGGCACCACAGGATGGGACCTCTATGTTAACCAAAAATTACCGGCCGATTTTAAACTTACAAGCATCAGAAGATTCACCACAGAAAGAACCAGCGTCCGTTAAAAAGTCCTGACCTCTCAAGGTCATCCTTTAGAGTCAAGCGTGGGCTCAAATGACGGAGAGCTCAATATCGCTCAAAAATTACCTGCCGATTTAAACTTCCAAATATAAGAAAAGCCGGCACAGAAAGAGCTAGAGCTACTTAAAAAGTCCTGACCTTTTAAGGTCACCCTTCAAGGTTAAACACGAGCTCAAAGGACGGGGAACTCGATATCACCCAAAAATTATCGGCCGATTAGAAAACTGCAAGCATCAAAACACTTACAAGCAAAAGAGCTAGCGTCCGTCATAATGTCCTGACATTTTAAGATGGTCCTTCGAAGTCAAATGCAGGCTCAAAGGACGGGGAAATCCACTGGATATCACCCAAATATTCCCGGCCGATTTTAAGCTCGCGAGTGCCAGAATATGTAACCACAAGAAGAACTAGCACCCGTCAAAAAGTCCTGACCTATCAAGGCCACCCCTCAAGGTCAAGCACGGGCTCAGAGGGCGGGGAAATCACTGTCACCCCAAAAATAGGCTGAATTTTTAACTTGCAAACATGCGAATATTCCACACGGAAAGAGCTAGCGTCCGTCAAAAGGTCCTGAATTATCACGGTCACTCTTCAAGGTGAAACACGGGCTCAACGGACGAGGAAACTCATCTCACCCGAAATCACCGGCCGATTTTAAAACTGCACACATCAGAAATTGCACCACTGAAAAAACTAACGTCCGTCAAACTAGTTCCTGATTGTTGAGCCCGCCTTTGACCTTGAAGCGCGAAGTCTTGAAGTCAAGAAGAGACGAAGTCAAACGTCAAGAAGTCTTGAGAGCTCAAGACTTCTTCAAGACTCTTGCGCTCGTGAATACTTTGGTGCTTACAGTTTTCAGATCGGCCGGTAAATTTTGGATGATACCGAGTTTCCTTTGGCCTTTGAGATAGTGTTTGACCTCGGTGGTCACATGATGTTGCAAAATGAGGTTTTTAAAGATTTGATCTGAAACATTTGAATGGATGGATTTCTGGTATCAGAGCTACCGCTGAGCAACGCCTGTTGTGTGAGCCCTGACCTCTACCACACCATCGCGCCATTCCAGGCAACGGCAGAATTTAGTGGCGAATGTTGAATGTGCCGCAACACTCGGTACGGTCCGCCCTGCCCTCTGACGTCAACTGACCTTTAGCGCGCCCGCTGCCACCGGCCGCAGGCCGTACCTGCCAAGGGCGAATTTTCGATGTTCTCGTGCCATAATTTATTTTCAAACCTTTCGTCAGAGAAATGGGAACTCATTGCTGACTAAATTGCTGAATAAATCGCTAACTCCGCGGACATCGGCACTGAGTTTTCTATTACCCTGGTCGGCATGGCTAAATATGACGTATGTAGTGGAACACGGCATGGCATATGACATTGGACGCTAACGGGACGATACGTCGCAGGAGGATTTGGTGGACATGAACAGTAAGATGATAATATGGCGGTTAAATATAACGTGTCAATAAGGTAAGAATGTGACATGGAATATGATACTGGATGTCAAGGGGACGATGGATTGCATGGTGATTGGATTGGGAACAGGCGCGCAGGCGGAGCCTTCGCAAGGGGGACAAGGAAGACAAAGGGGCACCTTGATAGCGAAAGGTCCTTAAAAAATAACTGTTTGTAATAATTAAAACAATCTTTAAAGAATGATTAATTTTGCTGGGCATGGAACATTTGCTATTGATTGCACGTTTTTCTTAGATGTTTTTCAGTTTGGCGTTCTATATCTGGAATAAATGTCAGAAGCTACCGCGAGATCAACCCTGCCTGAATTTTGCACTCAACCAAAAAGTCGCCGGAGCTCTTCATTCTGCAATGGTCTAAGGGATTTTTTTGTAAACTGATAGAGCTCGGAGACTTTGTCACAGTTTGCATCTGTGTTGTTCAGAGATAAAAGTGACCCTGCGAATGTAGATTGTAGATCGATGCAATAGTCCAATTGATTTTTTCTGAACTGATAGAACACGGAGGCTTTGTCAGAGTTTGTGTCTGTGTTGCCCAGAGGTACAAATGACCTCTGCGAATAAAGATTGTCGATGGAAGTGCAATTTGCATAAACGCAATTTGCATTAACGCAGTCTAGCCTGTTTTTCTGGAGATGTTCAGCATGCAGTCAGAATCCATCAGTGATACACATTATGCAACGTAGTTTTAAGCACGCGCACTTGCAGATTTTAGCAACAAAAACCGCGACGACAGGCATTGCGGTCTCCATAGACCGCGCAGCGTCGGCCTCGCGGCTTGCGCTGCGCCGTGGCCAACGGGTGGACAAAAAAACTCTGACGCATCTGAAAAGTGTTTTTGAACACTTAATACGCAAAAAATAATAAACTGGTGAAATAAGCGCAAAAGAATAACTCAAACCGCTAACAAAGAGCGCATGCAATGCACTCACAAGCTCAATGCGATTTTATAAGCCAGCTGGCTCATATATTATTTTTTATAGTTACGATGTCCCAGCTCAGATGGCGGCTTGAATGCAGTAATAACAACCAGCATCCGTCACACTCCTCTACTCCCCCCCCCCCCCCCCAGAGTCATCATCACTCTGCACACCTAGCTCCCATCGCTGTCTCCGATATCCACCGCTTGATGGTGCAACGGCGTAAGCATGCAATTCCTCCTTAACACTTCTAGTAGTCCTTACGCCAAAGGCCTGCTTTGCAGCTGTTGCAGCTGTAGCGTTCTTACGCTGCATGCTTTTTGCTCTCAGCGGCGCAGCTGCAGATCACTACATCCAGGAGCGCTTCGGGAGAAACTGCTGCTGTTGAGACGGTCGACATGGTGGTGGACACTCCGACGCTCTAACCGAAGTTGGCAGCTAGCTTCCAGCTTCTGTTTTTTTTGGGGGGGGGATCACAAGGGGTCTCGTCGGGCGGGGAGGGAACCAGTGGGCTTGTCGAGTCTCCAGACCTTAAGCCAGGTCTTCCGCGGTCCCAGAAACTGGCCAAACGACGTGGTACAAGAGCTGACCGAGGTCAACCAACATCTGATCTGCTGGCACTGTGGTCTCGCTGCGCAAGTGTCCCCAGGCATGCGCGCCCGCCAGTAGCTTCACCATGGCACACTGGGGAAGGCGTGCGATTTGCCTCACATGACAGCTCAGTTGGCGAGCATAATTATGGTGACCTGCCACGAAGAAATAGGGCAGCATTGCCCTCAGACCGTGCTGCTAAAGGAGAGAACCGTCGTCCTGCCCTCCGCGGAGGAGCATGAGCTCTAGCAGTGAAGGACTGAGGAAGCATTTCACTTGAATACCTCTAGCCAGGTGCCCTTTGGCTGTCTCTAGTTAGTCCATCAGCTCCTGGTATGTCTCGGCGCTCCTGGTATGTCTCGAGTACAAGCCCGTATCAGCACGGCGACAGTGAGATTTCCCTGCAGCGACTCGCCCAGTAGGCTATGCAGCTGCAGCGCTACAAAGGGCCTTCCAATCTGAAGGCACCTCAGCTCCTGAAAAAGGCTCTGTTCGCCGGAGAGTCGCGGCTTCAGTTCACTACCGTCAGGTTGTCAGCAGTGAAATACGGCATGACTGTCGAAAGTCCGAAAGTCCACGGAAGTCTCTTTCACTAGAAAATGTGCCAATAGGTAGAAGCGAGCTGATTTCATCATATCCGATGCTTGTTTTAAAATGTTAAAATTCTGAAGGCTCCTGTAAAATGGATGTTACACATTTGAAGATATTCAGGCAAGCTTCAGATGTGATGAAATAAGCTCACTTGCAACAACTGGCATATCTAAGTGCAAAAGCCTGTTCTAGAGGACAAAATTTCACTTTTGGGGAATATGTTCCGCAATGCGTCATCGTTTGGTTGTGACATGAAACGTTAGTTTAATGCTAGAGTGGCCGCGTGAAATTGCCACCCTAGCGGACGGGTTGGCTTACTTGCATGACCTTAACCTCCCGAGAGGTGGTTTTGGTTCCCGAGGGTTTATCATGCGGTACTTTCTGAACCTATATTTCGTTGAATGCATGTGCTTTGACCCTTTCTCATGGCGTTCTTGCCTTTTTATGCGTGACGTTAATTTCTTATTTATCCATGAGTGCACTCCCGAATTTTGTTTATCCAATCTGTCATTCCCTTCGAGCTTGACCGGATAGTTTCCCCATCAAACAGAGCTATACCGTAGCAATGAACAAGAGCCAAGGCCAGTCTGTGAACGTAATGCGTCTTAACCTGACTAAGCCAGTGTTCCCACGTGCCAGCGTTTGTGCCGGCTACTTCAGAGTGAGTAGGCGATCTATTCGTCCTATCGCCGGAGGACATCACCAATAATTTGGCGTACAGGGAAGTTCTGCAGCCATAATATTTTTTAATGCAGGAAGTCAGCTGCAGCAGGATTGTGTCGTACACTGGTACCCACCCGGCACTTGCCCATCGCCATACCGCGTCAAGAAAGGCCTTGGTTACTCGCGCTCGGCCCGCCCGCCGCCAGGACTGCTCGAGCCGGGCAGTGGACCGTAATGCTGTGTTTCGGAGGGACACGAAATCCCACTTGCTGGTTAGATGGTCGGGCAGCCATTAAGTAGAACGTGATGACCTGTTTCGTGTTTGAGACTCCTACGGGGTAATCTGAGAGTAACGTGCAACGTCTGCAAATTGGGTATAACTGCTAAGCTGGATTTGTTTGAAACAGAGCACCTAGTGGTGTGTTATTTTTTGTCGCATTTACTGCATTGCTCCAGCAAGTGCTTTGTGGCAGGCATCGTCGTTGGGGTGTGTCCCACTATTGCACAAAGGCATGAATACAAATACCTAGCATACAAGTAAGATTTCAAACACCAGCCAAATATAACTACCTCAGAGTGTTCTTCTGTGCTATACCCTCCTTGATCACCCGAGCATCACTGGCCATCCCTTCAAGCTTACATTGTATCATAGATAGTAGAAATATATACGTATACATATATATATATATATATATATATATATATATATATATATATACATATACAAGTAGGCAGATCGATGTACGGATAAGCTGATAGTTAAATGGATTTCATGGGACCACGCCTGATACTGACACTATGGGCACTGCCATGTTTTTGGCACTGGCTTGGCAGAAGGCATGACGTCCCACCGTGGCAAAAATACAAGAAGTCTCGCCACGCACCCAAAAGCCTTACGTTTAGGTCCAGCGTTGCCCGCACGCATGTGTTGCTGGTTGTACAAACGTGCAGCAAATGCCGCCTACTCTGAGCTGCAAGTTCCAGGCACGATTGGAGGCAGCAGAGGCGCCGCCATCCGGCCCCGCCTCTGCCCGGGCCGAGGGCTTGTAACGTCTCGTGTCGCCGTGCCGCCCCCACCGCTGCGTTCTTCCTCTCCTGCGGAGGGCACGGCAGTACGAAGGTCGCTCGCGGCGCCGCCGGCTATTTTTGCGTGCGGCCCGGCCGGGCAGGCGGACACCGGCCTGTATTTGGTTGAAGGTCAGCCTCCGCCCGAACATGACGCCGTTGGCGACCGCCCACCGTCCAACTATCCGGCCCACAATAAAAATAAACGCGCCGACGCTGGCAGCCGGAGGAATTCGCTCGGAGCCGACCCATTATTGACAACTGTCGGATGGCGCCGACGGTGAGTGTTCCTGCCGGAGGGTATTCCCGTCCCCCGGGGGCTACTCGGTGTTTGTCCTCTTGGGAAGGCAGAGAACCGACCGGTGCAGTTCTTTGTCCTCCGAGGAGGGCGCAGGAGGAGGCCTCGGTACACCCCACCCCGAATGGGCCCGGAAAGACCGCTGGACGCTCCTGCCACAGTATCGTCCTGCGAGGAATTTTCGATGCGATATGGAGTCCTGGCACCGGCGCTGTTCTGAGGACAATTACGTGGTTTCCAGGTGGCTGATCGCCAGCAAGACCTGCAGCCTTGCTCTAAGACACAGTGTCTTTTCTAACTTTATTGAAAAAGACGAGACGCTGCAGACGAGTGCGTCAGTCGTACAGTTGTAGAGACTCTAGCAGTTGTGGAAGCATGTGGGTCGGGTAACAAAAGTAAAAGAAGGAAAAATTAAGAAATTATAAGAGAAAGGCTATTCTACGGACACATGAGCAAATTTTGTATGCATTTACAATGCCAAAAGGTTGTTTGGCGTGGACATGCATCTCAAGGTCATCAACAAAAAACGTGGTTGTCACTGATTTTTGACAATATTTAGATGAAGCCATACAGGAGAGCTAATAAGGAACAGGCTGCGTGGCGAGGTTCACACGAAGCGCTTTTACTTCCCCTCCCTCACAATACATTACAATTGCATGAGCAGAGAGAAGGCTCACAACTACGACCTCGGATATTTTACACTGCTTCGTTCAGCCTTGTTAAATGGACATCAACTGGCTGCTGTTCATCCCTCTACGTCCAACTCGCTCATCCAGACCAAACGTATTTTTAGCGTCAAACACGCCTCCGATCCGGTCGGCACCGGCAGAATCCGGTTTACACCGGCTGAGAAAGAGGTGCGTTTTTGCACCGGCCTGGTAGCTCGCGACCCTGTCTTCTTCAGACGGCCGTCTTTTGGGACCAGCCGTCCTCAGCGCAGCGCTCGGCGCCGCTCGCTCACAGCGCCTCCACCAGCTTCTGCTTCTCGGCGAAGAAGCCCTTGAGCTTGTTGAGCGTGGCGTCGACGGTGTCCTGGTTGGGAGATTCGCCCACCTTCTCGGCGGCCGCCACCCAGCCCTGCACCTCCGTCACCTGCCGATCCGTCAGGACACGCCTGTCAGACGTGCGGACGATACGCGCGCTCATGATGCGATGTGGTGCGCGTATTTCCGTGAAATTCGTTCCTTGAGGTCTAATGGGAGCCAGTGTTTAAGTGTCCTTCCCTGATCTCTGTACTTCACATGTAAAATGTAGTGAACGATGCTGAAATATGCACCACTGTCATCGTCACGGAAGCCATAAATGTCATTGCACTGTGTTTCGTTCGTGGTATTTTGTTCGTCGATTTCAAGTAACGCGGAAGTGGCTTTTCTTCGTGTGTACTGGTGCGAGGATGCTCGCGTAATTGTGTGCATGCTACCAAATGCCAACTTCTGACGTATTGATTTCCACAACAACTTAGAAATGTCAAAAGCAGATCGGTGGTGTTGACATGACGCTTCTATTTAGGCTCGCTGAGATGTGGAATTGTTTCCCGCAGTGATACCCAATATGCAATCCCTTGTTATTTCGGCTGAAGAGCGGCAATGCTTTCTTTCTGTTTAATCCTCGTTTTTTAGTTGTGAAATTTTTGCCATGATTGCGTTGATCAATGTCAACATAAATATAAATATATTTGCCTTTTGAAATAGCCAAAAACTGGGTCCAGTCACGTTTGAGCCTACTCCCGAGTTCCCACCCATCTGCCCCTTTGTTCCTGTGCCCAGCGGCGTCCGCCTGACTGCATGTGTGCGACTGCGGAAGCGTCGCCGCTGTCGTCGCGCGCGAGCGTGTGTGCCAGCTCGTGAACTGGCACGGAGGAGGCCCGCGCGGCGTCAGTGGTAACCCAGATAGTGGTCAGCGGACCTGACGGGCGCGCCAGACGAATTGGGGCCAGCTGGCAGTCGCCGGAGGTTTCCACTTTGTCGACACACGCCGTCAGTGGCCGAAGTCGCCCCTGTGCTTCCGTCTACCGGTCGGGGCGTCTGGGGCTCTAGCCATGTCAGTGTCGTTCTATGCCTGCAGCCTGAGCTTTGCATGACGAGCTGGTGGAATAGTCACGTGTTTCTGGTCGTTGTGGGTGCATCCATGGTTCCATAGTTTTTTCACGTACACCTAAGCAGATAACTTAAACAGAATGCACTTAAGCCATCCCGTTTAGAGACCTCTACATTCTTCACCAAACGAAAAGCAATGACGTAACAGCAATGCAAGCAAAGTTCCTTGCATAACCAGTACGCTGTGTATAAGTGCACATTAAACACGGATACATTGCTCCGGCCGCCGCGGTGAGAGGGACGGGCAGACCATCTATCTGCTGGTCGGCTGGGTTGCGCCGTGCCGCGCCTACCGTGGCGTTGAGCTCCTCCCACTGCTGCACGAGCTTCTGCGTCTTCTCCACCCACTCGGCTGACACCTTCTCGGCCACCTGGCGCCGCTCGCGGCACTCGGTGATCTCGCGGTCGGCCTTCTCATGCTGCGTCATCATCGTCACCGTCTCGGTCATCTTGTCCAGGTTGCCCAGGCGCGTCTTGATGTCGGTGTCAAACTCCTACCGGGTACCGCCACCGTCCGTCAGCCCGGCAGAGGCCGGGTCGTGCCAGCGCTCAGACAGCACGCTCGACCAGGCTCGGTCCGAGGCGGCGACGCCTTTGGCACAAGATGCTCAGATGAAACCCGAGCGGACAACGGGACCTTCGAAGTAATGGGTTACGGTCCCTCATTGCTGCATGCAGCATCCGTTCTACAATTCTGACAAGCGGGCAATTTGGACAAATGTAATCTTAAGAGTCCATTTGTGCAACGCTTTGGTGGCCAGCTGCCAGGTAGCCTACGGCCAACCGCAGCTGGGTAGCCAACTGCTACCTGTCCCTTTCCAGAAGATACGTTATAGTGAAATGCAACCACGCGCACTTAGTACGCTTTAGACGTTAAAACTGCTGTGCAGACGTCTGAGAGCATGGTATGCTTCCAACCTGCACAGACTTAAGCATCTCCTGTGCCTCGCTCAGACTGGTTGGCTTTTTCTGGCCTCCCTTGATCCTCTCCTCGACCTCAGTCACCCACGGCTGGAACGTCTTCAGCTCAGCCTGCGGCAGGCCAAGCGGCAAGAGTCACGGCCAGGGGCGAAAAGAAGGGGTCAATATGGCTTGATCCATGGGGCTAAAGACATCCGCAGAAGCGTACCAGACCATGACACCCGTAACATAAGCAACAGGAATAAGCTTATTGTTCCACACAGCATTTCACGCTGGAGGCAGCAGAGGTCTGCCGTGAGACGTTGTCACCAACAGCCAGATAGCGGATTAGCAGTCGCCGGCAGGAGTCATACTCCGGCGGGACACCGGCTCAAGGCTGCGACGAGAGGACGTGGACTCACCTGGTAGTCGGCCCAGTGGTGGAGGTCCTCAGATATCTCGCCGGACACCTCCTTCAGTTTGTTGTTCAGCTCCTCCAGCTTGTTCTTCACCTGCTCCACCTCCAGGAGGTGACCCTCTGCCACCGAGTTGTTCTTCCCTATGAGACAGCCGACACGGTCGCTTTTCAGGTTGACCCTGTGCTCTCGCGTAGGGTTTTCAAGATATCAGGAGGGCTGGTGGAAAAATGTCACATATACGGAACATGTGAGGCATTTAACGTCGTATGGCAGGTATTTCATATCTACACATTACTTTTCATAACGTTCTCGTAAGTAAGCAAGTTTATGAGTGCGTTCGCAAGGAACATCGTGCATATAAAAAGACAGTACTTGTAGCCTTATTCCTCGTAAAATAGCTCGGAGAGGGGAGGGATAGATGCATCGATATTTAGGCTACATGCCTTTATTAAAACGAATATCAGTAGTCAGTGCACAGTTTCGATAAACTACTGATATCGGTGGTGGAGGATAACCTTGTGATGATGGAGCAAGTGAAGAATAAGCTAGAGGAACTGAACAATAAACTGAAGAGGGTGTCCAGCGAAACATCTGAGGACTTTTACTACCCGGCTGACGACTTTTATTATTCATTCCGATGGATTAAAAAGGTCGAAATATTAATACATCTATCTCTCCACTTTCCTGGATATTTCACAAGGAATAAGGCTGGTGCTGTTTGTGAAGTGCCGTTTTTTATATGCTTCCATAATGTGTGCCTATTCCAAGATTCTTGTTAATTCAGGATGCAGCACAAATGGACGAGCAGGTAATACACCAGAGGACAAAGCGGAGAAAACATGCACTTGTGCATAGACATCGGTTTCAGAATCAAATACCCAGCCACGCTGCACTGCAGCATATCGTCCATTCTTCAGGCAACAGCTCCCTCAATAAATTCTTAAACCAAGGTAGTGTCAAGTGGCGGAGCTCATGTGACAATCAGTTACATGCATCAAATGGTGCATGCACTGAAAGATGGCCCGCTGGGGCTGGAGTTTGTTCTTGGTTGGCGGTCGTCGAAGCCATCCATCGGGCTTCACGCGTGTTGGTGAGTTACGGTAGGTAATAGCGCTGCTATCCTAAGTAGTTGGCCGTCGACCTACACCTTTTTGACCAACCACAAACGGTGATACCATGGTGGCAGGTGTATCGAGGGTAGCACAGAAGCAGGGATAGGCTTACTCCAGGGGTTCTAAGCCTAAAAGATCTAAAGGAGCTACGTTATGAAGCAGAGTTAATGCTTATGTGAACCGCCCCTCTTTTAAAGCTGGTGCTGTCTGGGATAGAGGTTGGCCTAAGAGGTGTACACCAATGACATACCAAAGCAATGCAATTTGATATCATTAGTGCATATTGGGATTGGTAGTTTTGAGGCCAGATTTCACTACTTGCCGCACTTTTCTTGAGAAGTCGTGCAGACTGAAGTGACATCGTGTCGCTCCGCTACGCAGTAGAATGCCTCTGCGGTTTACTATGACGACGTGTAAAGGAGACGTTGCGGGCTAATATCTGGGTCCGGTTACGTCATAGAATTGAAAGTGAGATGTCGTTAAATATTGCGGTTTGTGCCCTGGAGAGCCAGAGGCGTGATTAAGAAGGCTTAGGTGGGCATCGACAGATATCCGTAATATCTCCGCGCGCTGAAAGCATGCATTGCATTTGTCCTTCACGGTCATCGAAATTGTTAGTTATTTGTTGTACTGTTGTTTGGCGGCAGCCAACGGGTGCAAATGATACGTGACTGTGCTTGCTGTTACGAACCTTAGCCCAGAGTGTTTTGGGATTACGCTGAGAGACAGCGGAGGCTTGAGAAGGGAGTTTTTTCATATCGCCCATGTCCTCTCGATAAGCTCCTGGTACGGTTGTTTCGCTAAACCCCTGTAAAGCGCGCAAGGAGGCGAGAGGGATAAATCTCCCACGCGGCGCACAATGACTAACCCCCCAGAAGACGCTCCGACTCAGTGATCAGCCCGGCCAGGATGGTCAGCTGCGTCTCCATGTCTTTCTGCATCTTGACGGTCATCAGCAGCTTCTCGTCCGACTTGTCTTCACCGGGGAACTTCATCAACTCGTCCAGCTGCTCCTGACCGGTCTTAAGCCATGCCAGTGAAGCCTCCTTCTTGTCGACGAAGGTCTGCCGACGGGATCGGGAAGCGACTTCAGTTGCTTTGCGTCAAGCCGCACCCAACACTCTGAGATATCAATCGAACCGCGTAGTGACGGAGTACCCAAATGGAAGGTGTCTGGCGACCGTCCGGTCACCAATGGACAGCATGCAATATGACATGTAGCGTGACGAAGTTTTGTGTTGAATTGAATGCAATGTACCTCGACGTGCGCCTTTTTTACGGAACGCCTGCGACTTGAGTGTCTACATAACCGCTCAGGGATCATGGCGCAACCAGAGTTAGAACCCGTGTCCCCACGTGGGAACCGAGGAACGTGTCGAGGAACATCAACAGTTGCAGTTCATGAAGCAGTTGAAGCAGGTGCTTTGCAAAACTTGCCTGCAGATCCGTAGTATACTTCTTGAGCTTGCTGATGCGGTCATCCGTGTTAGTTAAAACGGCGTTGCGCTCCTCGAATCCTTTCATCTGGAATAGCCGCACACGACCGCTAAATATGCATTCGAGAAGTCATCCTGGTTTAGTCACTCCGTTCGAAATTGTTTCCGAAAGTGCTGAAATGGTTGTGGAATATTTTTTAACTGTTTTGTGGAAGAAAGTAACTCAAATGTTTAACAATTTATTCGCGCCGTACTTTGAATAAAATAGTTGTATCAACAAATCGAATCTTGTGGCCGTAAAATGAGACGAAAATTGTGACCGTCCGGACTTTTCCGCACCCAACTCTCAGTCATTTCGTCAATTCAAGCCAATGCAGAGCATTGATAGATTGATAGATTACCATTCGCGCACTGTGCGTCTCACTCGACCGCACAGCAACGCTGCATGCTATGACTGTTGGGTCGCAATATTGGCACCGCGTGACACTTTCAGGCGCCCCTTCCCCCCCCCCCCCGGCGTCATGCAAGCTGCTTTCACCATTTGAGCTCCCCCCTCTATGTCCAGGAACGGATACCGAAGCTGTACTCACGATTTTGCCGAGCTCCTCTTTCTTGTCCGGGGAGCAGATGCCGCAGATGATGTCGACGTTGGCCTTCAGCTTGGTGAAGCAGGCCTCGTTGGCCTGGCGGGTCTTCTCAGCCTGCTCGGTGCGCATGCTCAGGTCCTCGGCGCCCTGCTGCGGGTCAAACAGCTTGCGAATGTTGCGCAGCTTTTCGTCGGCCTGGTCCAGGAGGTTGACCATCGTCACCTTGTCCTCCTCGTACTCCTGCCACGCCTTCTCGTTGTCTGGCGAGAGGTGAGGCTGGAGTCAGGCGTGGGTGTGATGATGGCTGCTGAGAGGAGCTTCGCATACATCGATTCAGATTCCGATACACGGCGCACAAAAGGGACTGCAAAGTGAAATACCGCATTTTAAAAAAAAATATATCACATCGTTTTTGTAATCGCTAGGGGTGTTACACCCTGAATGTCAAAAGTAATGAAATCCCACAGCAGGGATTAAAACGTTTTTGAACAACATCTTAGGCCTAAGCAAGGAGGTCTTAGGCTGCTGATTTTACATGAATAATATTTTTCATATGTGGAGTATTGCCATAATGTATCCCAGTTATTATTTGATACCCTCGCTCACCCAGCACCTACTGTGCCATTGAAGGTCGGGTATTTTGCCCTTACGACTGTAATTGTCACAATGATGGCGATTTCTCCGCAGAGCATGGGCTATGGACGCCCACGGCCAACTGGTCCCCCACATGATTGAACAACTTGGGTTCATTGTCAACTGTGATACATGGTTTGTTCTGACCTGCCTCCCCTAGCTACCAAGAGAGCTGCTCCTCCAAAACAATGAACGGTCATATGAATGGCGCCATATATATATATATATATATATATATATATATATATATATATATATATATATATATATATGTATATAAAGTTATATATGTATATATATTACCATATAATGTTCATATGACCGGACATATGAAGGGTCCATATGATGGTGGGCGACTCACTCTTCAGGATATCCAGCTTGAGCTTGGCTTTCTGCTCGGTGTCCATGAAGAGCTCGCTGAGACCCTTCACCTGCTCCTTGAGAAAGTCGGGACAGTCAGCCTGGCCCTCCAGCTTCTCGCCGCGCTTCAGCAGCTGCTGGAACTCGCCGCGCTTCTCCTCGATCTTGGCGATGTTGGCCTCCTGGTTCTCGATGAAGGTGGTGACCTGCTCGGTGCTGTCCGGGTGGATCTGTGACCCGGCAGGACCGCAGTACAGCTGCGTGTCAGCGCGGCACAGTCCAGAGGCGGAGGCGGGACGCTGGCGCAGTCGTGCAGGACCGCGCGGGCCGCAAGGATGGGCCAGGGAGGCTCAGAATCGCCAGGGGTGGGCAGGGACGTCAGTCTCAATTACGACCGACATGAGCAACATCGCGATTGCCATTGGTAAACGAACTGCTGGCACAGACTTCACGCCATGATGGTGTTGAATTTAGTGTCGATTAAATCAATGCACGGGACAAGTAGGTACAATAGAACCATTCCCAAAAACATTTACAGATGTTGTGCACACCACAAACCTGTTAAAATATAAGTGCAGGCATGCGTACTACCATGAGTATGGCATCTGTTGCCAGCGTCTAACGAACGAAAGGCGCGCTAAGAATTGAGCTTGGGCAGTGATGTGTTGATAGCCTGGTAAACAATCTCTGAGTGGGGTGGCGTGGTGCATGACCCAGGCGCCATCCATGCTATTGTTTGCCGGTGTCCTAAACCAGACTATTTGCCAAATGCTGGTAAAAACACACCCACAAACAACGAAACGCCATTGTACGAATTTAAAACCGACCACAAAGTGCATAAATTGAAAAACCCTTGACATCGTCACGAGCGGAGACACATGTGACGAACAAGGCACATGGTCGCCGTGGACATGAGGTGATGCTAGTAGCGTGACAACAGCGGCGTCCGTCCTGAAAACGACTGATTTGGGTAGAACTTGCTCCCCGTTGGACTGAATGGAGTGATATGTAGCTGGCGGTAGTTTTACGTGTTCCTGGCATCGCTCGTGGTATTATCGTCGGGGCACGCATCGGATACCAGCAGACTCCATCATGCGACATCAATGCCAGCCTCATAGCGAGTCAAATGCTAATGAACCGCGCACACACACACACACACACACACACACACACACACACACACACTGACACATAACATGAGACCGATCATCTTCCGTCAATCATGGGATGCCACATGTGGAACCTTCATCGAACTCAAATAATCATACGTTATACCATGGGTCATTCTTCAAAAAGTCTCTGACGGTTGTTTCCTTGTGCAAACACGTATCTAACAAAGGAGGCCGATTACCTCATATGCAGCATTCCTTGACGACTGTGACACCCGCACCCACATTGGTGTCATGCCCACCCCTGCATCGTCGTAGGCTTGCTAGACACTGCCAGTCGATACTGGTTTTTGACATCTGCGTCATCATCTGGATCGTGTTTGCAGTGGTATTAGTGGCACCAGTCAGTCTAAGCACACCAAACAGTAAGAGGTGGGACGGCAAGCTTTCTACATGCAATTCACATGCGGCGGAAAAGTAAACATTTCACCTTCGATCCACCGGAATCAGGTTTCTTGTCGTGCTCCTACAAAATAGGGGAATCGATGAGGCAAAACAATGCGGTCAACAAACAAATAAAATCCGGAACTCAGTGGGTAGGTGAATGCTGACATTTAACGTCAAAAGGAGCGTGAAAATAATGGCAGCTGTGAACCCAAAGCTGGTACTTACACGGTTACACAGCCGGGGAAAAGCGGGTGTTCTGCGTCTTGGCTGGCAACCGTTACGAAAAATAGTTCGGAACTACTTCTGGGAATGTGAGTAGGGAAAGACGTGTTTTCCTTTCTCCAATATCTGGTATTCGGGTGCAACATTCGTGTCTGTCGTCCTGGGCCACATTGAAATTTCGTATGTGCTTTACCAAACGTAGTAATTGCAACTTTTAACTCAACTTCTGCAAAGGAGGAGAGCGAATACTCAGCCAAAAGCAATTTACAGTTTTATGACTGTCACTTGGCGGAGACATTTACCAGCCTATGCAACAAACATTATAATATATACACCACAATGGGCATGTTCTGGAAGGTGCGATGTTTAAATATATCAAGCACGGCATGTCCAAGTAAACGATTTAATTTGTGATGACGAACCGGGGAGCCACCACGGTTCAACACCATGGCGTAAATGACGATAATAATGTAACATCACACTATGAATATAAACGCCTCACGGCTCCACCGACGGTAATACCCAAAACCGAACCGCATGTCATTATTTAAAGTGGCGCGTCCCTCCACTGGAGCCACCTACCTCTAAAATTGAAGTCGTATCTGAATTTCAGGCCAAATTTCTGTCTGTTGAAATGGACACCACACCACGTCTTGCCAACAGTTCTATGCGTCCGTCTTTGTAGTATAGCCAAAATAATGACGGGGTATTTATTTAGGAACTACAATGTACGGCAGATTTTGGCTTTTGCGGTCGATCACGCATACATCACACAGCCGGGTTGGTGACAGTGTCTCGCCACAGCTGCGTTGGTGACTGTCTCGTCACAGCTGCGTTAGTGACAGTGTCCCGTCGTAGCTGCGTTGGTAGCAGTGTCTCGCCACAGCTGTGCTGGTGGCAGTGTCTCGCCGCAGCTGTGCTGGTGACAGTGTGTCGCCACAGCTGTGCTGGTGACAGTGTCTCGCCACAGCTGCGCTGGTGACAGTGTCTCGCCACCGCTGCGCTGGTGACAGTGTCTCGCCACAGCTGTGCTGGTGACAGTGTCTCGCCACAGCTGCGCTGGTGACAGTGTCTCGCCACAGTTGCGCTGGTGACAGTCTCTCGCCACAGCCGCGTTGGTGACAGTGTCTCGCCACAGCTGCGTTAATGACAGTGTCTCGCAATAGCTGCGCTGGTGACAGTGTCTCCCCACAGCTGCGTTGGTAACAGTGTCTCGCCACAGCTGCGCTGGTGACAGTGTATCGCTTGACTCACGTCTTCGGTGGATTTCCTCCGCAGATCCTCGAGCAGCTTTAGAAGCGGCGTGATGTCATCCACGTACTGGTAGCAGCGCGAGTACACGTCCACCTGGTGCGGAGGGAGCGGTTGTTCATCGAAGTTGTACATCATGCCTTAACAAGCAGATGGTCGCCGGGGACTATATATATATATATATATATATATATATATATATATACCCTGCTGACTTTTGGTTGCGGAGAAGTACCTCTGTCCCAAAAGAGTGTGTCCGAGGGGCTCTAAAGGTTGGTCATTAGCGATGTGCAAGTTATAAATGAGAGTCCTACCAAGAACGAGGAATTTTTGAACTAGTTTTTGATGAAGGGTACCCATATGATGCAAAAGTGTAACAATAAACAGTGCAGCAGATGAAGATATGATGAACACGTTTCCACATATGCATTAATACATCACTGTTGGTTTCCAATCTCCGCTTATATGATGATCATTTTTACGAAAGTGTACAAGAAATAGACAGACTGAATTCACATGTGGGAAATCTAAGCTGAAATACATATTTCAAAAGACCCGAAACTTCGGTCGCTGGCGTTGTTTCGTAGCTCAGCACAGACCAAAACACTGCATCGTAAAGCGCACATTTCAAACTCAATTTAAACAGACCGGAAATGAAGTCCAGGGTTTTCGTAGCTCGGTGCGATGTGATTATTTTGGTAAGTTTATGGGCGCCTGCTGCATGTGGCGAGATAAAGCTGAATGCCCGTTCTGTCGTTTGTGTAATTGTCATGCATGAATGAATGAATGAATGAATTGTCATGAATTGCCTGCACGCCCGGGACAGTGCATAGACATCACGAACTCAACCGACATCACAGGCCATCTCATCGACCTGAATGGTCGAGCCGGTGTAACCAGCGCTGCCTGCCGGGCCACAACAGAGCTGGAAAATTGCGGCCGCTGAGTTCCCGACCGACGGATGGCAGTTTGTTGTCCGCGTCTAGGTGCCGAGGGTTTCTACTCACTTGCAGTTTGGAGTGTTTGTACATCAGCGCATGCTGCTAAAGCAGACGGATATTTGTGTTTTTCCCACTTTAATTTTACACCACCTAGATTGTGCAATAGCTCACAATTTCCTCTCTCCTTTCTCTCGCCCTCATTCTCCCAGAACCCACACCCTCCTATCCTATCTTATCCATGTCCTATTTCCACCCTACACATTCAGGCACCAGGGTGTCTCCCACTCTGCGCGTGTTCTCCCAGCTGGTGTCCCTCACCTTTCGCATGTTCTCCCCGCTGGTGACCCTCACCTTGACCATGTTCTCCAAGCTGATGCCCTTCACCTCGCGCATATTCTCGGTGCCTCCCACTTTACGCATGTTTTCCCCGCTAGTGCCCCTCACCTTGCGCATGTTCTCCTCGCTGGTGCCCCTCACCTTGCGCATGTTCTCCTCGATGCCGGGTAGCACCTCGGTGTGACGCTGGATCAGCGCTTCAAGTCGCTTCTTTTCGGTCTCCAGGTTCTGGTCCGACTTCTGGTTCAGCAGCTTCAGCATGTCCGCCAACCATACCTTCAGCTCCTCGCGCTTCAGGTTCTTGCATTGATACTGCGCCGCACAGCATGCGTTCATGACTGATCGGTGAAATATTGCGCCACGCGTGTCTGACCTACTGACATTGATGTGCAGCTGGTTACTGATGCGTGCCTAGGTTTTCAAGCAAAAGCTCACACGGTGTTAAAAAAGCAAGTGCTGATATTTCAATTCGAATAGCAGAGAGCGTAAATGCTTTTTAAAAAGAAATAATCTGCCAGAACTATGGTAAGGATGCATGGCCATTGAACTCAAACAGAAAAGAACATTCAACGTCATTCTCCGCGTGTCAAGTTATGTTTTCCATTCGACAAGTGAAGCGCTATAGCATAACCTGCTGGACAAGCGTCAGACGTTCGTGACCAAACGTGACAGCGTTGGGCCGAGAAGCACCAGCACGCCTTTCTTACCGCCATCCACTCCTCCGTGCTTCGCTGCCGTGGCCGACGGCTGGTGGCTCAACTGACTCCTAAAACAAGACGGTGCAGCTATACAGTCGGACCGCACACAGGGCGAACTGGCCGGCTGCGAGGATGCAGCTATGCAGTGGGACTGGGTAATACGAGAGCTAGCTGCCGCTACACCACGCGGAGTACTAACTCCCCCCCCCCCCCCACACACACACCCTACTTCGTCTCTGAGTGATCTACAGAGAGGATCTGCTACACACCTCCATTTCCGACCTCCCGTAGGAGACCATAGCAGGTTCAGCAAGGGGTCTGCGACAGGACTAGCGTGGCGTGAGGAACTGGGGCCAGCGTTTGTCTTCTTTCTATAATGAAATTTAATCGAGTCTTTTGCAAAGGTGGCTATTAAATCAGTGCCCGTGCTGAGCACAGTTTATTACGAAGACGCTGCCCCACCACTTCAGCAGAGCAATTCCAGCACAACCGCTATTTTGGCCGGAAGATTTCGACATGTTATACATTGTCATCATGAGGTCTCCGCGTGCCACCCTGACCCTTCCATGATCGCTTGACAAAAAGCAGCCCCTGACGAGCTAAACGGTTTCTCAAGCCGAATCCACAGTCTATCAACAGTGGTCAGGTACGGTGTTTGACTGACTGCACTGGCTGTTTCTCTGGACTGAGCTACAGTGATGACAACGGCAAACGTGGATTTTCAAGCCATGTCGATTACGCCTCACGTGAAAAGTATTATCAAAATCAAGGATGAAAGACTGCGATGGAAGAAGTGACAGAATGACCAGCTCTATCTGGGTGACATAAAATCTGTCTGGGGTCCAGGGTAAGAGACTAAAATTTATGGATGTGAAGTGGTTCAGCTTCTGAGGTACTTCTAGCCCGCTTTATCGACTAGGTGTTGATGATGATTTTGTGTCCACGTAAAAACGGAATGTTCTATGGCGCGCGCTCGAGCTGAGGCTGATGTAAAGGGATTCAAACATTAATGCTCCTTTGATGCACTTCTTCAGGGCTTGATCCTTTTATCTCGCTCCTTGTATCTATACAGTGAAGCGAGCCCCACAAAGTGTAGCATGACAAACAACTAGGCACGATGCTACTAGTTATACACACAAACAAGCTAACCAGTTTGTCGACAAGCCATGCTATCCTTGTTTTCCAAAGCAAGTATCGATGGTACCCAGCTGCAAAGCACCGCTTTCCCGTAAAAAATGCACGAAAGATGGCATATCTGAGCCGTTCAGACCACCGAAGATTGTCCTTCGCACCATCAGTGCACTAACTGAGGTGGAAGTCTGCTCCCAGCAAAAATTGACGGGCAAAGATTTTGTTCCAAAAATGCTAACCTCGCACTTTCAATTTCATTCGCGAGTTCCTCATATAAATAATTCCGTCCTTCAGCAATAACATCTCGCACTGTTCATCCGCTGCAACGGATGTCAATGGCCATCGTTTCATTTGATCCCCAAGTCTACGGAAGCTATTGGTGTACGCACTCCGGCATGCTATCTGTGGACTACGGCTGGTCTGACTCGGCCTTCAAGTCATGAGCCGTGACTAGCGCGCCACGGGAGCGTGCGATCGGCTCCTTACCCGGAACTGGTCCCGCATCCGGCGAAACTCGCGCGACGTGTACACCTTGTTGGTGATGAGCTTCTTGCTGCTCTCCTCCAGCGCGTCCATCCACTTGTTCATCTCCTCCACGCGGAAGTCGTACACCTCCTTGATGAAGTGGTAGTTCTCGGACCAGCAGGCCATGGCGGCGGCTTGGAGGGGGTGGCGGGCAGGCACAGGATGGAGCACACGCGGCCGGGCGGACGGCGGGTGAACTGGGGAGGTCCGGCGCTGGTCGGCCTAGTCCGGCCCCGTCTCGCCCCCCCCCCCCCCCCACCCTCCCGCCCTGCGCGCGCCGCCATCCCCCTGCCCCTGAAGCGGCGGCCGCTGCCAAACAGCTAGACGAGCGAAGTGGAGCAAGTGCCAGGTGTTATTTGAGATTTCCTGTGCGAGGGGTTAACGGTGTGCTATCGTCAGTTTCAGCTGCGCCTGCTGCAACGATATTGAGTGATGTGATGTAGTGAATTGCATGTTTTGTTGGTGCAAGATTAATTGTCCGTCATTGACCGAAAGATGAAGCGGTAAATCGTCAAACCCAGCAATGGAACTCTGCCCTACAACCGAGCATTCAGATTCCGAATGTTCGACTGTTGAAACGAACACTCAGATTCAATCAACATTCCGATGCCGAAAATACAGGGCATTTTACAGATCCTGGGCCAGATAATGACATATTTTACCATCATGCAGTGGAAAACCAGTCGATAAAGAACCCGCTTGTAACAAGCACGCACGGAAAATATTTCCTTATCTCACAAAATAAATTATATAAGCCAAGAGCATATGGTGTTTTTCAGCATAATAAGGTGGGAGTTCTTACGTGGAAAATAATTGAGCTTCATTATGTCAGAAAGCCACATAACATTTTCGAGCAAGCGTTGGTCACTGATATTGAGAAAACTTGACTTTTCGAAGCTTTGCTTATGGTTTCGAGGGAACAAGGTTAAGCAAAATCTGGCACCTCAAAACTGGAAGACACTTGAAATGCAGAGAATTATCAGAAATCTGTGCGAACACTACCACTTAAAACCTCAACCGGGCTCGTACATTCTAATACCCGATACACGCTACTACGCCAGGGGATCCAGAATTTTGTCGAACTGAAAACTGATGCATCTAACCAAACCGTCTCCTTCTTGCTTGAGATGTTCACAAGAGCGGGGCTGGAAACTTGCTGCGCTTCGGGTCATTGTTTATGGAGCATTGAGTGTCGATCAGATACCAGAGTGGACTTGTCACGCATTTGTTAGTAGGTATTCGGTGTCTTGATTTTGGAACAAAACACTGATTTGCCACCCACATTGACATGGGACGAGCGTGCGTCCGTGAAGCAGGGAATTTATGCAGCAACGAGCTCCAATGTCAATAAATCTGCCTATGATAACTAATCACAGCACAAAAAACTCACCCTGTCTGTTTTCCAATATCGAGTGACCTGCAATGTCAAATTCGAGATAAAGTGGCGGGCAGCTTTATATCACCCTGAAGACATCAATCTTTTTTTCTGATTATTAAACGCCATAATATCCTCTAACGCATCAACTAGATCTGTCGAGAAGCCGCATTTCTGAGCCAAATATAAGGCCAAACGGCGGAGAATCGCACACATTATCCCAAAGTTGCCGGCCAACTTCGGATTTTTAGGCATCAGAATTTTCTCCGGCGCCCAAACCAGCATCCCTCAACAATTTCTAACCTCTCAATGCCAAACTTTGTGGCAAAATTCAAGATCAAATAACGAACTCCTACATTGCCTTAAAGTTTCTGGTCCAGTTCGGATTTTAAACATCAGATTTTTCTTCAGCGCATCAACTGGCGTGCGTCAATGATACGTAAAATCACAAGGTCACGCTTCAAGGTCAAATTCTAGATAAATGTTCGTCCTGATGGCTCATTTGGTTCGCGCGCAGGCCTTCCGATTCACCCAGCCGTGACAAAGTAAGTTCAAGTCGCTCTAAGTGCTCGCCATTTGACCTTGATAGGTATGACTTGCGGTCAGTGGCAGCGGCCGCAATAAAGATCAGATGACATCAGAGGGCAGGGCAGACCGTGCCGAGCATTGCGGTACGATAAGCTTTCGCCATAAAATTCTGTCATAGAATCACTAGAAAAAGCTGACGTGGGGCTGCGCCGTCGGATGGAAGGGGTCAGGACTCACACAACATGCACTGCATAGCGTGATCTCTGATGCCAGAAATCCATCCATTTGAAATGTTCGGATAAAACGCTTAAGAAAAATATGGAAAGCTGCACACATCGCTCAGGAGTTTCGGGGCAATTTTAGATTTCAACATTAGAATCTTCTTTAGCGTGTAAACAAGCGGCTGTGAAATAGTCCCAATACTCATCCAACGTTTCTCGTCATTTAACCTTGAGCCTATCCTTGACACTTGACTTCGGGAGGCCAGGACATTTCGACGAACACTGGGATATATGCTAAGAAAGATTGGCATCTTAAAAAACGACATTGATCGACAACCTTTGCATGATATTAAGATCGGTCATTCGACCTTAAAACTTGACCCTGAGAGGTCAAGTCTGTTCGACGGACGCTGGTTTATGCGATCGACAGGATTCCAACTATATATATTTGGAATCGGCTGATAACCTTTGGGCGATAAGGTTCTTTGATTTGGACCTCGAACGTCACGTGACATTGAAAAACAGGCATTAGATTCGGTGTTCTCGCGCCGTAATTGGTCACCCGAAGCGTTTTCAGTGGAATCGGAGCTTGTGTCAACATTAATAGCTGCCTTCATGGACGTGGCTAATGTCCACCTATACCTCTCATGACGATGCCTTCCGTTACTATTAAAAAACCCCTTACACGCTGAGAACTCATGCTAGTGCGCGTTGCATGTAATACATCTGCATTGCAATACATACATTGCAATACATGCAGCACAACACAATGCATACATTGCAATACATTGCATGTATTACTATGAGCACAGAGGCTTTAAGTTAGATTAAGCAGTGTGCGATGAAATGTCTAGTCTTGGCCGTAAACCTAGTTTTCAGTCTACAACATGTTCGGCACCTCGCGTATCGGGGTGCCAAAAACTGAAAAAAACGCGTAGAGTGGAAAAATATATTTTCTGTGGCCCGCTTGTGTGATGTCTCAGTGTAAGGCCATTTTTCAAGCTTGCGGCCTGAAACCGGGCCATCATCGCAGACTTAGTGCTAAAAAAGCGGACGGCTAGGCATGCATGTCGGGAGTCGTTCAAAGGTACGGGACATTTTTAATTAGACGCCGCCAGACGTGGCGATGATGCTATCAAACTATATATTTTTCCGGCCAACAGGCACACAAGCATGTCCGTGAAGTTGGCTATTTATTCACTCATTTATTCAGCGACGAGTTCCAATTTCACTAAAAACGTGGGTTGATCAATTTGAGCTCGGAAACAGTCAAAATAACATTTATTTTTCAGTATCATACGATCCTTAAGGTTAAAAGCACTGTAAAAGCATGAGGAACTCCATATTGCCAAAAACTACCGGCGGATCCAACCTGTTTTATGCACCAGCACATTCACCAGCGCAAGAATCAGCGTCCGTCAAAAACGTCCCGGGAACTAAACGTCACTTTTAAAGTCAAATTGAGGCTCAACAGACGCGAAATTCTACATTACTCAAACATTTCCGGCTCATTTCAATTTTTAAGCGTGTCCCGGAGGGCAGCATCCTGGGACCGTTGTTATTCACCCGCTTTCTGCTTTATGTTCCTGACGAAATTGAGAGTGAATGCTATGTACGCTGATGATGCGTAAATTCGTCACCGAATGGACAACGTGAGATTGCCCGCGCTTCGGGCGGATTTGGATCGCCTCTGTAAATGGTCCAACAATTGGGGACTGAGATTGAACCCAGCTAAGTGCAATTCCATCTCATTCACCATCCGCACTTCACCTGTTCAGTACTCATATGCACTAGACGGTCGCTGTTTGGGTAGCTGCCAGTACATTGGTGATCTTGGCGTTTTCTTGGACACCAAACGTACTTTTGCCATCCACAAAGATTCGACCGCCTCAAAGGTATACAGGGTGCTGGCCTTCCCATGCGAAGCGTGCAAATGTTGCCGTGTTTTCGTAAAGCGCGGTTCGATCACAGGGCTTTGCTGCGTGCCTTCAACGCTCATGTGCGCTCATTGATCGAGTGCGGCATCGTTATTTGGAGCAATGGTACCATTTCCCATCTTTCTCGATTCGAACTACGACACCGTTTTTCGTGTAGTTGGGTTCGAGTACTCATACTGGTGTCCTCCACTGGATTATGAACAAACATCTCCCTTATTTCAAAACAGCATCTACCAAGGCACGCTTTTCTCAGTCTGAAATCTTATTTCTATACGTTTACCATCACAGGCTTGACTGCGCTCACCTAGCATTAGTGTTCGGCCTGGCTACACCTGCCTGCCTGCCTGCGTACGTGCGTGCGCGTGTGTGTGTGTTTGTGTGTGTGTTTGTGTCCGTTTCCACGATTAGGCGTTTGCCTGTGGACTGCTCAGGCCCGAAATAAACAAACGAGTATCGCCGAGAAATTACCGGCTGATTTCGAATTCTTAAGTATCAAAATAGTCACTAGCGCATGAACCCAAGTCCCTCAAAATACTGACCTCTCAAGGTCACCCTTCAAGAAAAATGTCGGGCTTTCAGGCTGAATTTGGCCTAGTAAGGTTATCTCCAGTTTTGCGGGACTTTTGAGGGACACCACTTTCCTCAGCGGTGAATATTCTGATCCTTGAAAATGCGAAATCTGCCGGTAATTTGGCGATAATATGGAGTTCCCTTTTTTACCGCGAATTTGACCTCGAACGGTGTTCCTGAATTTGAGGACCTTTGAGGGACGCTGGATCTTGCGCCGGTGAGTATTCTGGTGCCTCAAAAGATGGGATCCAGCCGGTGGCCTTCAGGTGATGAGTTCCCAGTCATTTGACCCTGAATTAGGTCTTGAGTGATGACCTTAAAAGGTCAGGATTGTGTGACGGACGCTAGTTCTTGCGCTGGCAAATATCCTGATGTTTGAAAGTTGAAATTGGCCGGTGTTTTTTTGGGGGTAATATTGAGTCCACCACCATATGCATCCGAATTTGACCGTGAAGGCCACATGACGCTGCAAAGCATACGTCATTTTCGGTTCTCGTGACATAATTGATCATCTGACAGCAATTTGACAGCAACATTCAATGACGCAATTTAATCG